CTTTTCCTTCAGGCGAGGATGGAATGGCATCTCAAAGCTCTTCCTCTTGCAACATGATTCAACATGATTCAACCCACCTGCGACTTCTGGCCGTTCAACCAACCAGCCCACCACGAGATTTCCACTGCTTTCACCCATCCACACTGGCTCTTGGATCTGTGCACCTCCGACCCTCCGACCCGCCAAACACAACCCCCAACCCACCCCGGCCTGTGACATCTTCCCCGAAGACGACCTTGGATCGGGGTGGGGCAGTGGGTCGTCAAGTCTATGGAGAAGGAGGAGGAAGAGCGGAGCGTGTGGGTATTATTCCATTTCCGAGGGCGATGGCAGGGGGGAGCCCACATGGTCAGGTGCCCCACCAGAAAAAGAAGACGACTCGGAGACCAACTGCTCTGCTTTTCCAGGGAATCCATGGATTTGCGTGACCGAATCCATCAATAGGGTGATGTAGGGTGATTCCATGTGATTCCTCACTGCCCAAATGCACAAATGCGAGTTTTCTCCACCCTAAGGATCCGAACGGACCCTCCTTACAAGGGATCGAACATGATCGAACCCTCTAAAACAAGGGTTTGAACCCGCAAAACCCTTGTTTTTGAGGGTGTGGATCCTTAGGGCAACAAGTTTTGGACCATGAGTCGAGCGACGATCGCCGCGGCGACCCGTGAACAAGCGGCACCAATCCCGACGGGTGACCAAGCGATCAAAAGGGTACCGGGTAGGCACGACCATGTACTAGGCCCTAGGCCTCTCTTCCTTTAAGATTTATATCAAGGAGTGCCGGCAGTTGGTACCAAACTCGGTTTGGCCAAGTACTAAGTACGAGAATGTCCATCAAACCGCGGGTCTAGTAGGTCGACCGGGCCGAGAATGTGGGCCAGTGGCCGCCAGTGGCCGGTCCCTATGGCTCACCATGAGACCAACTCCATACGAAACCACCTCATCTGCTCTCATTCTTCACTGCCCCTTGCATGTTAGGCATCCATTCGTTGCCGGAATAGAGCAGAGATGAACAGAGCAATCATGAGCAATCCAAAGTTCTAAACGCATGGAGAGCCCGTTTCAGGCCCGGCCTCTGTGAGTTCGTCGCTCTTGTAGAGGTCTTGCCGCTCGCGCTGGCGGGCGACCTGAGCACCGGCCCCCACCTCCAATGGTCGGACCAGGGGGGGAGGCCGAAAGCAAGCAGGTGCCTTTTTTGTGGAGCCCGCGAGCTCGCGCAAACAGGCTGAAGCCGTGCACCATGTTCGTCCTTTCCGATTGCAAAAGCCTCTTTGATTCAACTGTTTCATGAGGTAATCGCTCCCTCCCACGTGAGGCTGGCAGCCAGCCTCCCTGTGCTGAGCTTGGGGCACTGGACGGCCATTCGGCTGAAGCACTGTATCTGGGGCAGCATGGCACTGTGTCCAAACACAAGCCAGTCCAGTCCGACAAACACAGAACTAGATCGACACTCGTGTCTTGGCTGGCTTGTGGTTAAACCATCTCAGGCTCAACTGAAAGCGGAATTACATTTTGGCTGCAGGACGGCGAAGCTGAGGTTGAGCTTCCGCCACCCAACATCTTCTCCACCCACCCAAAGCCGGGCCTAAAGCAAAAGGACGCTGCATGAGGGCGCGACTGGACGACTCAGGGGGCTGGCCCAGCAGCTTTCACTTGCATACTGAGCCTTTAGGGGCTGTGAGATGCAATGTCATGGCACATGGGGCCGTGTCCCCTTGGAAGTGTCTGACTTATTCGCTAACTTGCTCGCAAGTTTCTTCGGGTCACCTGTGCCAAGATCCCGTCGCTTGGGTTGTGCATTAATACTGCTTTCTGGCATTGGCATTGTGAAGCGCGAAAGGTTTAAAAACATGCCAAGAACTTACTTACAACTCCTTAAGATTGCCTGACCTGGGGGGAGCTGGCAACTTTTGCTCAGTTTCTCTTCTCAGTTCTTGATTCGCCCAGTGTGACTTTGCACACCCCTGGAGCCACCCGAGCAGCCAAAAGCCAAATCCCCAGGCCATGAATCCAATTGCACAAGACAAGTGATCAAAAACCACTTGTTCCTATACCATCCTAGTGGGCCTGATACAGCCGCCAACACATACCAACCTCCTTGACATCTCCTTGACTTTGCTTTGCAAGTTTGACTTTCCAACCTCTCCAGCACTCCCAAATCACATCAAATGACCTTGATTTTGCATGCTTTCAACGTCATAGATCATCATAAGTCACTACAAGTCTAATACAAGTCTAATACAAGTCACTACTGTCGCTGCTCTGCATTCCTCCGCCGTCGCGGACCGAGACCACCTCCCAAACGATGGAGGAAACGGTGGACTCTCTCTCTCTCGATTCTGAAGCCGAAGGGACCAACGGTGGGAAAGATCTTGAACCCCCATCCACCCAGCATCCCGATCCATTCGTTTTTGCCAGCTCTTGCCGGCTAAAGTGGCTCAAGTCTCACCGCATGAAGCGGCCAACCAAAAGCAAACGACTGACCCAGGTCTGCCGTCGCAAGCCAACGCAGCAACTTCTGTGCTACCGTCGGTTTTGGTGGGTCGCGGACCCGCTGGTGGAGAGTCCCAAAGGTCCCCAAGGTCCGAAGCATGTTCAGAGTTCTTGAACATTCATCCTCCCATACTGTTCCACACTTTTGGGGTATGAAATGGTATGAACAAACAACGAATGGAGTGAGGACTTACGCCGCGGAGTCCGAGGCGTCTTTCAGTTCCGGGTCGGTGCTTGGAGGGGACGTTTGGTGCATGCCACTCCCTTGCCAAATAGCATCGATACTAGCATCGATCTGAAGCCTTTCACCCAAATCTGAGTCACCCGGAGTCCGTTTGCTATGCGCCTCTTTTCAGAGTTCTTGGCCAAGTAGATCACAGCTCAAGAGGTTCATGTCTGTTGGAGAGGAGGTTTTTTCAGAGACCCTCTTTGACATCCTTGTTGAGTGGCACAAGGTATTCAACATATTCTAGCTGCAGGCCTGGCCTCCACCCAAAACCGAAGTGCTCTTTTTGGTTCCAGAAAACCTGACCCGGTGGTAGACAACAATCAAGAGCTCGTGGAGGGAGACACAATCAGGTGCATCTATAGATAATTACTCAATGCGTGTTCAAGTAAACCCGGGCATCAACTTCCAAACTACGAACATCCAAGCAGCGTCCACCGCCCACAGGGCAAATGTCCCACGGAAGTCTTCGGCGCAGTCGTCTTTGACAGTGGCCATCTCCCCATGACGCGAGGTAGGAGGCATCCCTATCCGTATCCATGTCCCTGTCCCCTAAATCTCAGTAGTTGATGGACACTTGTGATTTCTGGAGTAGGCCCACTGTCCAAAACAGACTTGGGTAATTAATTAAGGGACTCCGGACTCCACCTGGCTGACAGAATTCCGGTTCTGAAGTTCTGGCAAGTCTTCTCATGAGACATGATCACCCAGGTCCCTGCAAGACTCTGCCTGCAAGGACCCTTCTTTGCGAAGGACCAATTGTCATCCTTCATCGCCGGACGCACCCCGGCGGCCTGGACAAAGCAAGGCTGTGTCTGAGCTGCATCCCGCGAACGTGGCCAAATCAGCACAAACTCCAAACAAAAGTGATCTCAAAGGGAATCTTTCCAAGGCCTTAAGGTACAGGAGTTTGCATGTAGCTTTCCTGGGCATCCCTGGGCGATCGTTTCATGCTGTGTATGGCAGTTGGCCTGTCAATGTCAAATGGCTTAAGCAACTTGTTGCACGACTGCGCTGCGCAGCAGTCAGTGGCACAGTCTTCCTGTACACGCATGACTTAAATTTTGTGAGGCTGCCTGCGGCTCTCATGCATTCGCAAATTCAATCACACGCGTAGGCCCTCCACTGCACGCGGCTTCAAGAGGGCACTGTGCACCATGAGGGTTGTGAATTTGAAATTGTGAAGTGTCCAGAAGGTCCAACACCAAAGGGCTACCAAGTAAAGAACGTCCAAAACCTCACCTCACCATCTGTCTCTCTCAGCCGTGCACCAGTCCGGTGCAAGACGGACTGGCGCTTCGTCTGGAAACGGGTTCCAGACAGGCTCTTCTTATTGTGCAGTGCAGTTGCTTACTCTCTTCAGAGTGTTCATCAAAGTTGCAATGTCGAGGAACATGTCCTATAGACAATGTTTTTGGTGTGATGCAGCCAGTTTTGCTTTGGTTCCCCGACTCGTTTCATACCATAATCCACTCTAGAGGCAGAATTGGTGACAAATGAAACCTATTGGGTAATCATTGCTACTCCTGAGGATGTTTCCTAGTCACTTAGCACAGCGGTTCATGCGGTATTCGCTGAAACGTGCGATTCTTCTCCCGTCTTCAGGAGTCGGGACAGCAATGGAGGTTGCTTCCTCAAGGCTATACTTGATCATTATGGTATAGTGACGGTCTACGAAAGGTGCGGGTCGTTTTGAGAATTCTTCTGAAACCTCACGGCCTATAGAAAGCATCTATGGATTGCTCACGGCCTTCGAGAACAGTTTCTAGTCCGTAAAGAAGCTTACTTCGTTTCAAGTCGGCGTCGCAAATTATATAATTGATGAGTTTCCACTTCGTGCTGGCCTGACGCGCTTTCCAGTATGATCTTAATTTGAACCAAGTTCGTCTTACATCCGGCATTTTGTTCAAGACTCCTTGCTTACATTATAACTTCTTTGTTTCATTCCCCAAGTACATGGCCTCAAACTCCTTGTTTCAAGCTTAAAAAAGTCCCGTCATGGAAATGAAGACAATGTTACACCCGTCGTTGTTCATGGCTACAGCATGCTACAGCTACACACTTGCTTTTGTTCAGTCCAAGGCCATATCCTTTGGAGATTTGTTCTGCAAGTCTCAACCACTCGTTCAGTCCTCGTTGGCTGCGGGGGAAGAGCACTGTGTCACCGGCGTAGTCAACCCGTACGATTCAGTTCTTCATCCACCCACGGCCCACGTATTTGAGGAAGGCCCAACGATGTCACCTCGAAAACTGTGATGGCGCTTGTGGTTGACATCTTTCAGGTCCAATAGATGGACCGACCCGCACAGGAACCATCACTGAAGCCATGGATTTTGTGTAGCTCGAAGTCCAAGTGTACGACCCCAACGCATACCGCAACGCCATGCCAGAATGACGTGCTCGTTTTTTCCCCGGCCCTGTGCGGGTCTGAACATGGCCCGGCACTAGCACCGGTCATACCACTGCCGTCATCTGCAAGCGGCGGAGCCGAGCGAGGACAGGGGCGGTTTTTTGGGTTCTCATCATCACCGCAATGGTCTGCAGAAGTGCACTTGATGTCAACAGAATTCGAGTGTGTTCTTTCAGGGTCTGGAGTGTGGAGGAGTTACATAGATCGTCCAACCACACAAAAGGCCCCTGTGGCCCAATTACCACTATAGCGATTAAGGAGTGGTACAAGGACATGCACCAGTTGGTGGCCGTGGCACCCTTTGAGTAGAAGCAATCCACAACGTCCTGGTCGTTGATCGTGGAGAACAAGCCCCGCTAGAATAGCCAGTACTTAGAGGAAGCAAGTGTTTTGGGCTGTGCAGGTTTCGGTGCTAGTGTCTTTTGGCTAGCGTGCGCAAAAAAAGGACGAAACTTGTTGCCCGTTGCTTGAGGAGCTTGAGATCCCTGCATGCGTTTCCATGCCTCTAACTCTATGTGTTTCATTGTGTTTCCATGCTTTCTAATTGCCTTCAGTGTGTTTCCATGGGTGGAAAATGACCTCAAATGGCCGATCTGTTTTCTGCCACAACGAACGCTTGGACCAATTACTCCGTCCCAACCATGAGACATGGTTGAGTCACGAGAGGCTGTGTCCTGTCACATACTCCTCCCCCCTTCAACCTGCAGTTCAAGAGGAGGAAAAAGAAACCCTCCCCGAGGCTCCTTCACTGCTTCAGGGTCTTCCCTGAAGCGGGCTCCTTCTCCATGGTCAAGGACCAGTAGAAGACCCAAAAACCATTGGATTGGGGGGGTGTTCATGTTGGGAGGCCCACCCCTCTGGGTGATTGGCGCCTCGTTGATGGGCGGCACCACCGATTCCGCGTTGACGCTCGGCTCGGTAGTGGCCCGGTCCATCGCCTGTCACCAGGTGTTTCGATTTCGGGTGGACCGAGTGGTCTGGGTGGACCGAAGAAAATAGACAATGAGGACCAACCACGTCTGACATACTACAGTAAATGACTGTATAATAGGCCTATAGGCTTGCTTTTTATATAATATAGGTCAATGTGCATGACTTGAAGAGTGGAGGCCAATGGCCAACTGGGCCCTGGGCTGTTTGCCAGACTCTCCCACAATCCGAACATGTTGTTCTCAGCTTACTCGCAGAATAACTGGTTTCTGCAACTATATAGGCTGGACCCAATTCACCTGACATTGGGTGGAGGGGGGAGGTGAAGAGATTGGCAAAACCCAAAGTCTTTTGGGTGCCTCAAGAACCTACAAATATGGGATTCCAAGCCAATTGAGGGCACCTCATGCAACTAAAACCCCAGTTAAAGAAGGGTACAGTATCTGAAAGCTCTCCCCTCCCTCTACTAAGAAGTCTTATAAACCTGACCCGGGACACAACACCGGAGCGTTTAACGATGATGACTGATCAATTCGAGCCCGGGGATTGCGGTGCATGGATGGGTTTATTGAAAAGAGAAGGGCTGAGTCCCAGCTGTCGGCGCTGTGGTCCCTGCATCTCCCAAACCAGCTCGTTGTGCTGGTCCCGGCCTCGCCCGAATGCAAGAAGCAGAAGGTCAAAACAAAAAATGGGATGCTCACCTCAGCCACCAGGGGGGGAGTGGCCCATGAAAGAGCTGCTGCTGTGCGTGTATGATCGTGTGAGAGTGTCAGATCCCACCGTCACCGAAGATCAAACCAAAACAAGATCGATCGAATGATGTCATGACTTCATGACATGCTTGTCATGACCCTCAGGCCTCCGACTCACTCAACAAGGGTCCGTGACTCGACCGCGTTTCCGACGAGTTTCCGACCGGGATCCGCCTGGGCCCATCCCCTTGACGGTACGGTGGGCTGACATGGGCGACAGATGAGACATGGGCGCGAGAGGCCTCATGTTCAACATGAAGCAACAAACACCTTTTGGAGACGTCGATACTTAAAAGGCCACTAGACAGTAGCTACTGTAATTCACAAGTGAAAATCAAAAATCCGGAGGTCCATGCCATTGGTGGCCGAGTCCGCAACAGCGGGAGGAACGTCGTCGGATTGAAACCAGGAAGGAATTCTAAAAGAACCTTCCCCCGGAAGGGTCACTAAAACCAGGAAAAGATACCAAAACAAACCATCACCCTAAGCAAAACCAAGCCAGCTCGAATGACCATGAAAGGTGCAGCTAGTCGGACCCATCCTCGATTTGAACACGGTGTTCATCAACTCCTGCGACCCAACGAACCACGCATCTTCACATGCTCTTCAACCAGGTGGGGCTACACTCCCTCAAACTAACATGGAAGTGGAGAATGGCCTCTTGGAAGACCATGAAATCCTCTACAAACGGGGTGTGCCATCCACTTCCATGTTAGTTTTCGGGAGTGTAAATTGTAATGACAATCCCTAGTCCTGGCCCACCTCCGTTTGAAAAAGGCGGCTGGGGTGGGTGCCAGGGGGGTCGAATACCACCTAACCTGAGGAGATGGGACAGGAGCCCTAGGGAATGGTCTTGCCCGTTCTTCTATAACCAACTGTCTTTTTGGAATTCATGTTCTAAGAGACGTGATGTGCATGAACATCAAGTGGTCTTTGGTCCATGAATTGGTGCTTGTCGCTTTCTGACCGCAAATGCAGCTCACCTTGCAGCTCTCTATCGATCTCTATCATCTCCCGCGGCGCCTCTCCCCCTCCTCTGCCGCTTCCCCCCTCCCGGCTCCCCCCCGGCTCCCCCACCACCCTTCGCCCCCGCGGAGTCACCACGACCATCAGGGTCGAGTTCATGGCCACGAGCACGGCCCTGAAGAGGCGAAGACCGTGCCCCGGGAGGTGGAGGGCAGTGGAGGGTGGGTAGGTGGGTGGTTGAGGATGTTGGTATAATTGTTTGGCAGGTGTCCTGGCAAAATAGGGTTGAAACTTGTTGAAACTGGGATATCTGGCACTTAAAGATGGGGAGCTGCCGGAAAACCCCACCCTTTGAGGGAGAACGCACAGCTAAGCTGTGGCTTGGACTTTCATAAAGCCACCAAATCTGCCAGCACCTACCAACCACAGCTACCAATCGAACGACTCATGGAAGGAGCCAATCTCAGCATCAATTGTTTAGGGGGGTTCCTTCAAGGCAATGCTGCATTAGCCACACCTCCTTCAAAGCATTCAACTGAGAGAGCAGTACACGCAGCATTGTCAGTCTGCCGTCGCTAAAACCAAGCATGCCAAAGAAAAGATCGCACATTTGTCTATGTCATTGATTCTATGTTTATCCTTCATGGCATTATTATCTCTATACTTATCTCTATATATTGTTTTTACGAAATTCGATCGAAGGAGATACGGCTTTTTGATGCTTTTTGCGGGTTGTTTATCCCCCATTCCACCCGAATCCTCGAGGACGGAAGACGGAGAAGACGACTATTGGACGTGGTCTCCATCGGTTTCGAACGCGAAACTGAGGTGGTTTCGATACCCCATTCAGAAAACTAAGGAACAACTAAATGTGAGTGTGTCCTGTGACTAGGTCTTAATGTCTTAGGTGTTGATGAGCATCTCATGTTCAGCATTTGATTCTCTTCGCTTGAGTGTCCCCCCATCCTCTCCCATGTGCTTCCACACGCCAAAACCACGGCTTTCAGCTTTCTGCTTTCCCAAGCCGCATAAAGTCATCAGGCCGACATCGGTCTAAGAGCTTGCCTGGCGCACGGGGTGACACACCGCATGCGTGCGCACGCCCGACCGCGAACAAACGCTGCGCTCAGAGACAGCACCGACGAAGGGTCCCGGAAAAGGCGTCTCGTCGCCTACATCGACCAGCAAGATGCAAATCAGCAAGAAGGAGAAGCCTGGCCAGAGAGAAAAATAACGTCATCAAAGGTCCATTTCCCCGCCATGCAACACAGATGACTGAGTCATGGTCTGAAAGTTGCAGTGCAGTGACGGCCGAGAACATACCAAACCACCAAAACAACACATCTCTGAATTGAGCTACCCGTCAGTTCCAAACTCTTCCAAACGACCGCCAGCGGACAGGGACTATGCCAAACACTGCCCCTGTAGTGTCTAAACGGCAACTGATGCCCCTGACTGCCTCGGATCTCCTGGAAGCGGTAACACTACAAAGGGTATCAGAAGCTATCTGATGCCCCCGCCCAGCCGTGGAGCATTGGCAAATTTCGGCGATCCGCAACTCAGTCCTGCGACACCTCTCTCCACACCTCTCTCAGCCAAAATCGGGGCCTATTGCACCAGAGACCTCCAAAGGGTCTAACTTGAAAAGCAAGAAGGTCAAAAGTGCCTGGGCCGATCAAAAGATCGTAAGCTTTCAAGTCTGTCCAAGATTCATCCCAAGTTCAAGCTGTGTTGATGTTAATTGTCCATACAGTACTGATGTTTGATTCATTACAGGTCATGAAAGAGACAGGGCGCGGTTGATCTAGATACCAACAATATCTAAAAGTCAAGTGATCATTGCCCGTTCTCTCACCCTCTTTTTCACATCTGTTCATTTTCTTCTCTTGAACATCGTCGTACATAACACGACTATCAAACTCCATGTTCCTCTATCTTTTACAGTAATTGGGCATGAGTGATGAGTGATAAACCGTGATGAACCTTGTTTCCATGCGCTCCTGTGCACACGTTTGGTTCTGCAAAGCACCAATGCATTCAGCTCTTCCGTTTCCTTTGGCTGGGGTCTTGGGGTAATGTGATTGCCTTTCTTGCACGGTTATCGGGAACTTCTCTCAGAATGAAGCAAGGACTTGGACTTATCCAGTTGCATAAGCGTCAAATGAGAGGACCCAGGCCATTCGCTTGCAGTGTGCCGATGAGCCAATTGGTCGGACAAAACCTACACATACCAATTGACTGGTGGCCCGGGAGGGAGGGCCCAAAGGACACCAACCGCCTCTGTCCCAGGTGCATCGATGAGGCAGCCCACGAACCAACAGGGCAAGATGGACGCCAACAGCAAATGGGGCCCCGCGATCTTCCGCTCGAGGTTGGTCAAGATTCCCGAGGCGATCTGGACAGCGATTCACGGTGGGCTGTTCACCAGAAACTGTTTCAGCTTGTGAGGTAGAGGACGCTACTAGGAGCAAAGGGCATCGCTACTAGGAACAAAGACGCTACTAGGGGCTCCTGGCCTTACTACTAGGAGCAAGAAGCTACCAGGAGCTTTCACGGTGGTGCTTTCACAAAGAAACCCCCCCGGTCCGTCATGGGTCCTGGGTAGGTCGTGAGGTTGGGTGGTGGACGTCAAGAAGCACAGCGGGTCGCTGCCAGTTCTGAGAGGTCTGCGTGATGCCGCCTGTTTGGGCCAAGTGGCACTGGCACCAGCCATGGTAAAGCTGAGGATTGCCAGAATCCTCGAGTCTCAATGAGGTTCAAACCCAGAAACCAATCGCGCAATGATTGTGCCCACTCTCTCAGGCTTCTTCACGGGTACAATGGAGACCACCTGTATAAGACATAGGACAAACATAAAACCTAGTCTATTTACGTTGTGCCGTTGTGCCTGTACAGTAACCAGTTTGAATCTGCAGGATTTGCTGAAAGTTTTCTATGGATACAGAAACATCTCCGACCCCTCTCTGCAAACATTTGGAGACGCCAAAATCGAGAACAAGGAACCCGGTGGAGCTAGAAACATCATGAAACAATTGAAACCTCAAGAACATCTGAAAGATCCTAGATTCGAATGCCACTGTTAAAGGAACAACTTCGGCGCAGCCTCATCGGCCTCCTGTTATCTTCATCAAATTCAAAACTCAGAACCAAAATGAAAACAAAACATATACAAAACACACACATATATATATAGAGAGAGAGCGGGGGGTGAGGGGGGGGAGATGTGAAAGTTTTGATTTTGCAAGGTTTTGAAGATTTTTGAAGGGTTCTACATGGATTTCGCAGAGTAAAGGGCAATTTGATGTGATAACAACAGTATACAGCAAAGCAAACCATGCAAAAACCTCGAAAAAACAAAAAAACAAAAAAACAAAACTGCAGACCCCATTGGGGCTCTTGTCTGACTCTGTGGACATGTGGTCTTTGCAGTTTTGTTTTTTTTGTTTCTTTTTCGAGGTTCTGGCCATCTGGAGCAAACCATGCAAAAACCTCGAAAAAAAAAAACAAGACTGCAGACCCCATTGGGGCTCTTGTCTGACTCTGTGGACATGTGATCTGCAGTTTTGGTTGTCTCCTGTTTAGCCTTTCCTGGGTCCCTCTCCATGGGTCTGATTTTTTGTATTTTCGTTGGTCTACCAAAAAAATACAAAAACAAAAGTATAAAAATCAGACCCGGGTCTCCTGTCTAGCCTCTCCTGGGTCCCCCTCCATGAGTCTGAACTTGTTGGACCTATGTCTCCTGTCCAATCTCTCCTGGGTCCCTCTCCATGGGTCTGATTTTTTTTTTGGCTGGTCTGCTAAAAAAGAAATAAACACTATTTCTTATTCATTTCTAAATAGTTATTAACTCAATTCTAATTTAATTCTAGGAATTTTGATTTAAATACAATTTAACTAAAGTCTAAATCAATATTTATTCTAATTGAATTTGTTTCATTTCTATTTTTATTGATAATAAAATTGGATCTAAATGAATTTTACATTGAATTTGTTTTGAATATGTAATAGACTTCTATTTTAATTCTAAATTGAACCTAATTAAATTCTAAATTAAGTTTATGTACGTTTAAAATTCATTATAATCAAATTATAATTCAATTCTATTCCAATTCAATTTTGCTGTAATTGTAATTATCTTTGATTATTCTGGATCTAATATTAAATTCCAAATTGAATTTATATGTGAATTTGCAATATATTTCTAATTTAATTCTAAATTGAATATATTTGCATTTTATTTATTGGAATTCAAATTGAATTTGCAATTTTCATTAAATTGAATTGTTTGTAACCTAAATTTATATCAATATTGCAATATTGTTCTATTTGTTAATTCCTAGGTTAAATATCTTTAATTCAATTCTACCTTAGGTCTAGGTCAATTTCAATTTGAATAATGGATTTTGATTTAATATTATTCATTCAATTCCATTGTAATTCCAATCTGTTTCTCATTTAATTCTATTTCATTTTGTTTTGCATTTAAAATTGTAATTTTGTCTATTCCAATTTCCAATTGATTTGTTAATGATTTCTAATGTTAACGTCTTTATATAATTTAAATTCAATTGATCTATATATCTAATTTTCTAACTTGATTCCAATTCAATGCAAATGGAATTCTACTTGAGTTTTGCTTCCATTCTAGAGAATGAATATTATTGGTGGTATGAATATATTTCAGTAAAGAAAGAATATACTTCCATATTGGAAACATTGCATAAAAATCTTTTATGTTCAAAGCAAGATCAATTCCCTAGAAATAAATGCGAATTTCATAAAATCCAAATTTTAATTCAACACGAATGAAATATTAGAATTGAATCTGAACTATATAATAATGAAATTAAAGGTAAAATCGAATTATAATTTGGCTGGCATTGAATCCCAATGAAGGAAGTTTGAAGCAAAATAGAATTGAAATATAATTGAAATAGAATTGATCCTGAATTTACATATAGATTTGAATTTGAATTGAATAAGAATCAAAATAGAATATTTGCCTTCTAATTCTGATGTATTTACCCAACTGCATTTAATAAGAGCAATAAAAATCCCACTCTAAAAGAAAGAAATATGATTTTGCATGGGGACTATTTGGTAAACACCTAGCTTATAGATTTAATCATTTCTATAATTCATAATTGAATGAATAAATATGTTTATCAATTGCATATAGAGCAGGACATTTACAAATTTCAAAACCCTATTAAAAAGATATCATTCACCATAAAGAACAAAACCCTACAAAAGAACAACTTTCACAAGCCTATCAATGCAAGAGAGATTGCTTGTTTATATTGTAATTTTCAGCATTTCAGCAGCAGATAGAAGGCTTTGAAGTAGAGAGTGCAAAAAACGCGCGTTTCTACAATATGCATACTCTCCCCCCCTCCTCACCCCCCCCTTCTGTATATATATATACATATGTATATATATATATATCATATATCATATATCATATATCTAGAGAGAGAGAGAGACTGTGTTTCTAATACGTTATCGTCTTTCGCCCCCCAAAGAACTCGGTTTTCTCGCGTCCGGGGCGCTGAAAGTGGATGGTCACATTCGTCACTCCTCGAGTCCTGAGGGACTGTGAGGGACGGGCCGTCGGTTTCTGCAAACACATTGAGAAAGCATCGGTGCACATCTGAGCCGTGCATATATAGAGAGAGAGAGACAGAAAGCATCGTTGTTTGCAAGTTTGGTTTTTTGAATTCAAGTGAGGCGACTTCCGCCGAATCCCCAAATTCCATATGCCCACATATGCAATACGTTGTGTTTGTCTGTGTTTCCTTCCACCCGGTCGCCAAAAAGACAAAAAACATACCCCACAAGATGGCGAAGGCGAACCACATGGACCCAACCAAATTTGTTTAAAAAACAGGTTGAGCGTGTACATCAAACTAACTACTCACCATGAAACAGGTCTATACTATACTAGAGCTCAACTTCTTAGAGGGCCAGGAACTCAAGCTTAGCACGATTTAGGACCTCCTGAGAGAATCACTGAAAAAGCATACCATTGCCATAGCATAACCTTGCAACAACGGCCACCACCTCTTTTTCAGGCCCCCTTGCACATGCGTTGATTCATCAACCAAACAGGATCAAACAGGTCAGTTCCATGGAAAGCCCTGCAGAGCCCATGCTGCCCACCCCACCACGTCCGAGCTTCAGCCCCCAAAAGATGCCAGAGAGCACGGTGGTCACACAAAGAAGCCTCGCGCCACCAACGTCTGGCCACCGACCCGTTCCAGCAAACCAGGACAAGGACACCGAGGGACATTTTTAAGACACCGAGTCGCTGTTTTAAGCAGTAACTATGCACACCATCCAAGACCAGCTACCTCAGCTATACCCCAAAACGAGACCACCAAAGCCAGATACCTCCACCGTTGCGAACAGGCCACCAACATGACCCAACCAACAATGAGCCAGATCTCCCCAAAAACTGAGGCACATTTGTGGGAGATGCGAGGGACTGAAGGGACCAGCAGTTGGAAAAAACTTGAAATCACATGTTCAGGCAGATGTGAACCCCTAAACCAAACAAACCTGCGACACATTTTGGCCATCTGTTCTACCTTCCAACTCCCAACTCGTGACAGCGAAATGGGTGCCGGAACGGCTAAGAATTAGAACCGTTTCCTGGGGAAGTTCCCAGTTCAAGGAAGTGGGCATGTAGGTTATGACGCGCCAAAGCTGGCTTTCTTGCTTCATCATGGACCTAGAAACTGCAGAAGGCGAGGGAGTTCCATCCAATCCTGCCCACTTAGACATGTTCCTATCACTTCCAGGTGCCGAGTATACACTTTGGAAGCAACAGCCCTTGGGCTGTCGCCAGCTCTTCGAACCAAGTGGCAGGTAGTTCAGAGGATACCTGTCCTGCAAAACGACCCAGCAGCAAAATGTAGAAGAAACAAAGGCCACAGAATGGAACAAACCTCTGCGTAAAAATGCTGTGCCATTGGGTGTCTCTTCTCTTCTCTTCTCTTCTTTTCTCTTCTTTCTCTCTCTCTCTCTCTCTCTCTTTTTGAATTTGAAGCATCAATACTACAAACACCCGCGCCCAAAGGCCAAAAATTCTTGATTCACCACCTTGACACGTCTTCGTCCGGAAGAGAGCCGCCCAACGGTGAACCCAACGTCCTTGAAGTTCTGCAAGGCCAAGATGCTAGTAAAGTTGATGGCGCCAATCACGTAGAAGACGACCTGCCCGGTGCCACGGCTCCCACGTCCCGGTGCTCCGACCCGGAGCGGGGAGGTGCAAAACACCCCGGCCGGTGCATCGGGCTGGAAAGCCGAGGTCAGGCCCTGTCGGGAGACGCATTGGTATTGAACTATGCCATCTGAAAGAGCGGCCCCAATTCTGGCTCAGTCACACACCCCCGCAGGATGCCCGCAGTTCGGTTCAGAAGCTGAACGCCTCCCCTGCACGAAAGCAGGAGTGGTGCAGTCCGTCAAACACCGCCCCTCAGCTGGCCCTCAACTGTGGCATGTTGGACTCTGTGGGACTCATCTCGGTCACAAAAATATCTCTCCCAACACCCCAGATCCCCACCACCCAAACCTTGGGATCCATCACCCGCGCGTGACCCGACGGGGATCCTCCGGTCTCAAACCACACACGCCTGTGCGGGTGTTTGACCGAGGGTCGGCATCATCGCACCCCAAAGCTGCAGGTAATCCACCAAGACCTGGTCGGCGGATGAAAACGACCAAATGGCACATGAAAACAGGCTAGACAAAATGGCATATTGCTCCAAAGATACTCACATTGGTACATATATATATATATATATACGGTCAATGTCACTGTTAGCATATGTTAGCATCAAACAATGTCAAACACATGCCAGGCGAATCAATGTGAATCACCAAGACGACTCCACTATATTTTTATGGCTGCTTCCGGTTGCTTCCGGATCCAGGAGTGATCTGCGATGTTCTGCTCAGATTCAAGTTGAGCTGCTGTGATGGCCAGAACCAGTGCAAGTTGGAAGCCCATCAAAGCAAAGGTCTTCATCCGAAATTTCCTGCAACAGCACATCGATACCCATCTGGCTGGTGGGCACCCCATCGAAGGTCATTATGGGAACCCCTGGCCATACGCCTCTGTTACTGTTGGGTGTCTGCTTGACATAATCTCGAACAAAAGGAACTCAAGTGGCACCCATCAACCAACATGGCTTGGTGTACAGTGTAGAGCACCCTTCCCTACAGTCTTTTCCACCAAACCATGTCCCTGAGGGAGGGTCGGGCACTCCGATCGATGCTGTTTTATCAATGTTTGTGAGTATACATGTATATTATATATATATGGTGTGCTAGTCTTTGGTGGAATCAAAAGGAGGGTTGCTGGTCACGATTCAGCACTATGTTTTGTTTCTTCGCGCTGGCCACTCAACCCCCATGTCAACTGCGTCCTCTGCAAATACCGCGGCATCTGCCCAGGTGTAGAGGGGTACCGCCACAGGGACCTATGACGGCATTGGCGCTGGAAGTGATAGCTGCTTGGAAGACGAGATTTTGATCACCAAGCAAGGGGTTTCCAACTTCCATGTGAGTGAGTCAGCACCTGTACATACCGTAATGGTACAGTGTAACGTGTGTGTGTGTGCGCGTAAATATCTATATATATATATAAAACACATTATTTGAGGATTGGACAAGCGAAGGTGGGACTAGCAGACTGGCAGAAACAACATTCTCTCTCATCCAACTCGCATCAAAACTAATGATGAGGCAAAAACCTGCAAAAAACCTAGTGTAGAAATCCTTACTTCCCTGTTCCGAATTAACGTCAATCATTCTACCAGATTGGTTATATAACTCTTTCCTGCTCATAATTCCAAAAAAGACTCCACAACTCGGATGTCAAAGTGCCCAAGGTGCCCCTGAACTAGTTAAACACGCACGTTTCTGCTCCTGGGTTGCCTTACACCAGCATAAACCCCGAATAGCAAAAAAATATTTGTGGGCAGCGCCCTGCAGTGGCACCAGCCTCAAGCCTCCAAACATGCGCACTCCTACACAAAGGCACCAACGTTACCACCATGTCCGACATCTTCCCATTGCATCGCCGGCTTCTGCCTGTTTCTGCGCCCGGACTGTCCGTCCCTGCCCAGCCTGCCGGAGAGGAAGGTACGGCTGATCCTGAACGGTGCGGGCCGAATGTCGGGCGGTCCACTTCGAAGCTGGCCGGTCGCAAGTGTTTCAGACGGTTCCCCCGTTGATTCGAAAGAGTCTTCCACGGTGGTTGGGTGGAAGAAATCGAAAAAGCTCTATCTCTATACATCTCTCAAACATTCTCCTTCGGAAGCTGATGTGTGTGGCTTTAATTACACGTCGTCCACTTCTCCAAATCTAAGCGGGGCTTGTGTCCCATCATCTCCATGAATGGCATGGAAAGGCAATTGCTTCAGATGTCTAGCGCAGCAATGGCCGCAGTCATCGATCAGCAGTCTGAAACACAGAGGTCGTGCACCCGCCCATGCTGACGTGGACAAGGCTCCCGTCTGCCGTCTACGCCGAAGAAATGTGAAGAAAAGACACCCTGAAGACAGTATACTACGGAGAGTTGACAAGACAAGAGCTCCAGTCCCTATTAATACGAAGAAAGAGCTCAACCTTGAAAGAAAAACACTGAAGTCACTACATCTGTAGACTCTAGACTCTAGACACACTTAGAGATCAATGAAGTTCCCCCGATCGGTCCTCTGACCAAACATGGAAGAGGTCCTTGGCTTCGCGCTCGTCTGACACGTCTGAAGCTGTCGCGAAACATGTGTTAGGATGTGTTAGGATCGGTTAGGCAACATGCTGCACCACGTCGGATACATGTGGAAACCAAAAGAAGCCCCAAGCCCCCCTGGAAAGTGGTAGGTGTTCCCAGTGATTGGTGTACATGCTGGTGGGGCCAGACAGGTGGGACTTTGGGTATCATTGCGAAATACGATGAAATACGGTCCCAAGAAGATCCAGAAGGAATCCTGATCCTTCCGGCATTCGGGCCAAACCTGACTGGTCGATCCATCCGTGCAGGATAAGAAGGTAGGCGAGGATGCCAAGCTCAAAGAAGTGAGCCGCATGGTGTGTGATCAAAGTGAGTTGATGGCAAAACCCACGGACCAGGCAAAACAAAAATAATCCTTTCACGTGACTGATGTTAAGTCAATAGGACTTGAGTGATTGACCCCACCAAGTTGCTTGTTGATGGTGCTTCTCGAGATGGATTCTCCATGATTGTTCGATTGGTTGCACAACCACTCCTGCCTGAAACCCACACGTGAGAAACACTCCTTGGGATTTGAGCCATTGAGAGAAAGACTTTAGGGTTAGAGCCTAGTACAGAGGGTACAGTAGGCTCAATGTCAAGGATAATCCCTGCAAAACGTACCTTTTTGGTTTTGTGAGATCATAACTGTCACTCAAAGCCCTTCGCCCATTCTGCCACGCATCCGGTGACTCCGGACGGGTTCTTGTGGCGTCTGCATTTCCTGCAGGAGGGGAAGGCTCAAACACCAAAGAGAAGGAAGCTTTGCTGACGTTCCCCTCCAAATAGCTACATTTTCTGTTGACATTTCCAAAAACAGACTTCTTAGATCTTCTTAGGATACCTGATGTTATCTTCAGAATAATTTACACACACACACATATATATAATTATATATATATATACTTGAGGCCAGGGGGAGAGGTCGAAAGCTAGCCGAATCTCACCGGCAAAGCATGTAGGGATGACATGTTTTGGGAGGAAGGTTGCTATGTACATACTTTGCGCTAAAGAATGTAAATGTGACATCGCTGACTGGGAAGGGTACATTGGAACAACCCGGGCGCACTCGTTGGCAGGCACGAAGATGCGTGATCGGCAAATCTGGGGGGTAAATTTACCCTCCGCTTTTGTATGCCTTGAGTCGGAAAGAGGGGTAAGCATTTCTGACATCATACGGACTGTGCATACACTAGGGCGTCCGTAGTGTAGGAGAAGCACGGGTAAAAGGTATATGGAATAGAGTGTCTTGAGGAAATAGCCGGTGTATGGTTATTGCAAATCTGGGGGGTAAATTTACCCCCCGCTTATGTATGCCTTGGGCTGGAAAGAGGGGTAAGCATTTCTGGCATCACAAGGACTGTGCATACACTAGGGCGTCCGTGGTGTAGGATAAGCACTGGTAAAAGGTATAAGGAGTAGAGTGTCTTGAGGAAATAGCCGGCTTATGGTTATGGCAAATCTGGGGGGTAAATTTACCACCCGCTTATGTATGCCTTGAGCCGGAACGAGGGGTAAGCATCACAAGGACTGTGCATACACTAGGGCGTCCGTAGTGTAGGATAAGCACTGGTAAAAGGTATCAAGAATAGAGTGTCTTGAGGAAATAGCCGGTGTATGGTTATAGCAAGCCTGGGGGGTAAATTTACCACCCGCTTATGCATGCATTAGGTTAGAAATAGGGGTAAACAACTTGTAACGGTGAAGTACAAGTCCTATGCAGCAAGCAGCAGCAGCAGCAGCAGCAGCCGCCTGCAGCCAGGCGAAAGCAGCAACCACCAACCAGCAGCCAGCCAGCAGCACCACGCAGCAGCAGCGCAGCATCAAGCCGCAGCAGCAGCAGCACCACCGGCAGCAAGCACCACCGGCAGCAAGCAGCAAGCAGCAGCAGCAAGCAGCAAGCAGCAAGCAGCAGTAGCAGCGGCGTCGTCAGCAACAGCAGCAGCAGCACCAAGCCGCAACAAGTAGCAAAGCAGCAGCTACAAAAGCAGCAACCAGCGGCAGCAGCAAACAGCAGCAGCAAGCAGCAGAGCGGCAGCAGCAGCAGCACCCTTTACACCAAGCCACCGTTACACCCAACCAACCACGTTCACACGTTCAACCAACCCCCTACACGGCGCAGCTGGGAGTTGAACCGCGGGGGGGGGGTTAGCTTGATATATCAATCTTTAAGGCACGCAGCCCCTCCCACCACAACATTGCTAAAGCAAAGAAGAACTCAGCTAGCATGCTAGCTTTCGTGATTAATAATGTATAAACATGTAAAATGCAAACTTATAACTTATAACTGGCTGATAGTGGCTGAATGCTGAGGAGATCATTTGTTCAGACAACCTGGATGCATAGCTCCCCGCATGGATGCTTCTGATCCTATCTCCACTTGAAAGCAAAACAACACTAAGTGCAAATCTGTTACCTAGCCACTTTGAGGCACCCTCTATGTAAGCCTCCGAGCTCAGATTCACCCGCAGAACTCACAGAACCGTGCAGGTACAGTAACTGGGTGGGGTACCACCCAGTTTAACGTTCCTTCAATCCTGCATCGACCAGGATGAACTTGTCCAACGATACAAAGCGATTGGGGCTTTGGAGGGGTCCTGTGAAGGAATGGCCCGCCAGTCACCTCATTCACAAGACTGGCACCACAAAGACCATACAAAGACCGACCCATGGATTCCGGCCCTTCTTGCTTCCACATGCCACACACGCCCAGATTGCAAAGCAAATCACCAAATCACCTGTCCAAAAGAACCTCCTCCTCCTCTTCCTCCTCCTCTTCCTCCTCCTCCCAGCTGCCACCGGCCAATTCCTTCGTTGCTCCATCCTCCGGTCGCTCTGTCGTTGCTCCGGTCGCTCGACCGGACCCGAAACGGTTGGGTCACCCGGAGGCGTCGGCGAGTTGTCGCCGACCTGGTCGGTGGTCTCGGACTCCACGGGTTCCATGTCTTGGAAGGTCACGGTCCTGGGAGGGAGAGCGGTGCGGGGGACAGGCGGTGTTCCAGGTGGGTGCCAGAAAAAGCCGAGAAACAAAGCGAACTAATCAGCCTGGGCCAGCAAGAAAACAAGAGAAGACATGTTTGTAATGGCCAGCTGTGCCACTGGCCGCTCTCCAAGATCAGCGTCTTTGCAACGACCAGAGGTGTGCCTATATAGCCACCTGTCCATGGTCAAGAAATTTGTGTGATTCTATGTTTGGCTGATCATGGCTGATATACACTGACCCTCAGGTTGGTGGACGAAGCTCCCCATAGTCTATAACGGACCATGTTCATATGTCTCGTTAGATTTGGTGTGCTGTTTGACCTTGCAGACGGAGCTCAACACCTGAGAACCAAGCCAGCCCCCTTTGTCTTCGGACCTCGTGAGGGTGCCGGGAACTGGCCAGCATCACTTCAGGCGATGACAGGCTAAAACGGACACCCCCGATCGGTTGCTCCGTCGCGTCTTCCGTTTTCCGTCTCCGTGCGTCTTCCGTCTCCGTGACCGACCACCCAAGCGTTTGGGAGCGCCGGCGATCGCGACCCCAAGGTGTTTCCGCTCCTGTTCTCAGATCTCACCTGGCAGGGTTGGCTCGGGACGGCTGGTTGGCGATGTTTTGGGGTGTTGAAAGGGATGGGAAGGCAATGGAAGGCGTTCTTAGCCAAACAGCCTGCCTATTCTGGAAGGCTCCGCCAGAGATCTGGCATTCCAGGCATCATCTGGTCAGGCAGAAGTTCCGGTGAGCTCCAGTGAGTGAATGGATCCTGAATACTACACAGTTGCAACCCCCTCAGGAAGCACCTCTAAGCATCTCTCAGTACATCTGATCACCTGGTCACTGACTGGTAACTCTCACCATCCCGGCTCGCCACCTGCATCTGAACCTGCGCCATACGCTCCGATCGCTTCACCGGAGCAGCAATCACCTGGGAGATTGGATGAGGGGTGCTGGAGACACCCTCACGCGCACGAACGATCATGTTCCGAACAGATCATGCACCCAGTCTTTTTTCGGCTGCACTTATTAGAATAGGGATAGGAACGAGATTCTCCTGGCGGCAACCTCGAGACGTTTGAAAAGGTCATCTGGGTGTCGTTGTCGTAGATATGGGAAATTGGATTAAGAAGCACATAGAACACTAAATGCAGCATAATGCATCTCTCCCACCCGAATTGATTGCGTCTAGAAACCACATAAGGTGTTCCAAGGCAGCACGCATGTTCCCAACACCTTCCCCACACCCCTCACCAGTGGCATGAGCTCTTGGACTGGGCTCCGGACGCTTTCGTCGTTGTTCGCCGCGTCGACCAGATTCGACGCTCGAAATTGAGCCGCGGAGCGACGGACGCGATGCAGGCTCCGGCTCCGCGCGCAGCCAGTTTGGTGGCGGGTACTGGACGTGGGCGGATTCCCCCACACCTGGACCCCCCAACAACTCGTCCAGCATGCCCAGCATGGCCTTTTGCACCAAAAGAGTACCGAACCTGCATGGTGCCTACAGAAGGCACCCTCCCAAAAAGCTCATCGAAACAAACCAAGATCGTCAGACTCGTCAAGCGTGGAACACTGAGAAGGGAACCAAGTCATAAACCACCTGACATGAGGAAGGTCTCAGCATTGCTGGGGTCGCTGCAACTCCCACCCTATCTCACATGGTCCTGGATTTGTCTGGCTGTTGGGCAATGGAAGTCTGCAATGCAAACGTGTCAACTGCCTACCTCTGCCTGGGACTCTCAGGTGACAATTACAGGGACAGGGGCATGGGGAACCATGAATTCCTTCAACACAGCAGTATCAGAGTCCGGGTTCTGCATGCAGACTACCGGGCGTGGGAAGTTCTACCATTCAACAAGCTCCCCGCCAAGCGCCGGAGATAAGGCTTTTTCGTATTCAGATTGCTTGGCTCAGGAGGTTCTCCCATTCATTGGGGAGCCATGCCCGCAAAGCAATGGACAGCCCCAAGCGCAAGCATTCTTTCGCCCGCTGCTCTGCGCTGCAGAAGGGGAAGACGGAGGGGTGCAGGCACCCGAGGTGAGCAGGGAAGCAGGCAATAGCAAATCAGAGCACCCAGCTAGGATACAAACGGAGATGCAGTCAATGACACAAATTGATCAAATGGAGCTTTGTTTTGCAGGATTGTCTTCACCACTAGTTACTGGTTCAGTGACTGATTTAACTCCTGATGCTTCAAAGTTGGGATTTGGAGAAGCTATTCTGATCGCTGCATCTTGAGTGCACTGGCATCTGTGGGGTCTCCAAGTCATCGGGTGGGTGTTGTTTTTTCTGGAAAGGTGGCGCCAGGAGTTTGATGGACCAAAGGTTTAAAGGAAGCATAAGGAAGCACTCACCCATAGCAATCTACAGTACTGTAGCTGGGATGATCCCAAAGCAGGATAGAGATGGATAGAGCTATGGTAAAAATACTTCCACGTGCGCCGTACAGGAGAGAAGAGCATTGTTTAATGAGATCGTAGTGGTGTTATGTTGCGCTACCATCCAGCTGCGTAATCATGGAAACTAGCCTGTCGCCAGTCTGCCTTTTCCTGCTACAGTGGATTGAGAATGGATTGGCACAAACCCAAGATGGAATATAGGGGTCCATGTAACCACCTTTCGCGGGTTGTGACATTGTGCCATCTACTCTCCACCCAGTATATATGATCTATCATGATCTATCCATGTCCACTTCTTCATGTCTTGAAGTGAACTGCCTGCTTCCCAACTTTACTCAGCTCAGGGTAGGGCCAGCTTTAAAAGACCCAAGGGGGAACGAACTACACAAGGCCTCAAGGAGGCCTCAAGCACTGTCGGGGCAAGGTAGCTTCCACAAATATCTTCCTTCAAGCCTCTGATCTGTTTTCTTGCACCTGAATTTCAGGACTCCCGATTCCAACTGCAATCCGTCCCCAATTAGATATGAAAATGGCATCAAGAGTATGTGGCAGCATGTACTGAAAAGCCGACGCTGTTTCAATGGCAGTGGCAGGCAGTATTGAATTGTGTGCTAATCCCTCTCCTCTTGTTACATTAACTGCACGCCGTCCTTGCTGCGCACGGTTGAAATCTCATGAAACATTGGCTTTCGAACATAGCGATGTAAACTATCACGCCAAAATGGACACGATGTCCATGGTCTTACACTACCCACTAGGCTGCCAGAAATTGTTGGCTCGTTTCCAGGCTTCCTGTGTTCGAAACCTCCAATTCGAATGTGGGGCACTTGAAAAAAGAGCCTCCCACACACACTCGGATGTCATTGTTCACTGGATGTGCCAGCCAAGTGCTGCCCTCTCCCCGACGCCGCACGTTCTCGGCGTGACGCCATGGCATCGGGCCCCCCGAACCGGGAGAAACCCAGCTGTCACGAGGATTTGGAGTGATGCGCAGCGCGGTGAGTCACTGAACTCACTCAGGATGAACTGCCCAAGCTCGGGGATCCCATCATGTAGACTTTTGATGCATCAAATCCCCATTGGGATTGCAAAACCTCTTATTGTGGGGGGCTTTATTAATCAAGTGTCTACATTGTTCAGTTTAAATGTCATTGGTATCATATCATCATGTGTATAATGCGGGTGTGCAATGGAGTAGGCAGCCCCTTGGGGTCTTTTGAGCTCCCTATTCCAATATAACTATTACATTATCATGATGTCCAACCCCCTGCATTCAGGACACAAAATCCCATGAATTCATCTGCGTGTTTTCACTGAAAGGACGCCCCATATAGGACATGTTAGAGGGCCCATGGTCTTCGAGTCTTCAGGCAGTTCAGCGCCTTGAAAATGTTCAGACCGCCTCTAAAGTCCAGGAAGCCGGCGTGCGGGCGAGCGTTTTTAGAAAGCATGGTCCGTGAAGAGGTGGCTGCATGAGCAACATCGTCCAAGCACAACAAGTTCTTAGAGCTTCAAACTATGTCAAGCTAGTTGCTGTATATCTAGATCTGTCTCTGCCTACAGGCCTTCTGAAGGTGTCTCTGCACATTCTCTCACTAAACCGGGCCAAGAGTTCTTTCACTCCAAAGTGCTTCATAAATGGGAACTTTATCTCATCTCACTGCACCTGCCCCGCCCTCTTCACCCATTCGTCTCCCCGATGTCGCTGTTCCCAAGGGCGGTATAAAGACAGCGCTGATGGAGGCCCCGCAAGGTCGTGGCAAGAGGTGCTCGTGAATGCTCAAGTTTTAGTTCAAGTGAGTGAGAAACTCGAGAAGGCTGGAATCTAGTGGGCCAGGCCGCTAGGGCCGCTAGGCAGGTCACTGCTGCAAGCGGTGTCAACTCGTTAGTTCGAACTTTCAAGCTTTCCCAAGAGTTTGGGAGGGAGGGAGGGAGGGAGGGTCACTGCTGCAAAAGCGGTGTCTTGGAACTCGTTAGTTCGTCTTCGAAGCTTTCAAGCTTTCCCAAGAGTTTGGGGCCCATGATCCAGTTTTTAAGGCACGTTCCTCCAAAAAAAGAGAAATGCCTATAATTGCCTATACAGGGTTGGCCCCCCACACACACAACTCAAAAAAAGGCCTGGCGGCTTCGTGGGGGTCTATGCATAAAGGCCGCAACACCTACAATCCAACCCGCCTTTTGGCTAGCTGATACGCCTTAGGGCCAGGACCCAGTACACCTACACTGGGCTAAAAATTGTGCCTCCTCACAAGCAGACCTGCACCAGGCTCCATCAAACAGCTGCTGATCACCAGGCTCTGCTGGATCCAAAAATGTAGGGCCTCAGCGCTGATGCATCTGGCTGCCCAGTCCTCAAAGGCCAAACAAGGGTCCAAAGCATAGGCCGGTTTTGAGGTGTTATTGGGGGTGCGATTTGTGGACCAAACAACTAACATCAACTGACTGATGCTTGATGAAACTGGATATCTGATGATCTGATGAAGCAAGAAAAGGAATTGTGATGGCACGTGTCAAAAGAAAGGACTACTGAATGACACGCTTTGAGCCATGGAAATCTGCAAACTGAAGCCCAGCGGCAAACTGAAGCCCAGCCCCAAGTTCTTCCCAGTGAAGCAGTGGCAACTTACATTGCCATCACGTAGACCGGTTCCACCGATTCTCTCTCCTGGCGCAGAGGTGAAGGTGGATATAGATGGACCAAGCCTTCGTGGAGAGGCCTAAGAGAGACCTTAAAAATCAACTCATCGATATCCGAATTATGGGATGCAGCGCGGCATAGCGCGGCTTGATCAGCTTGGCGAGTTGAGCTCTTGGAGACCAAGTGTCGCTAGAGGAAGAGCACCTAGCAGCCTGCAGCAAAGCTGTTTTAAGCAGCGGCAAAATTGTCTGCATGCATTCACCCACACACCCAAAGCAAGTAAAGAACATTGGATGCAGCAGCCTGAGGGGAACATTCCAAAGAGTGGAACATCCCCAGCGCAGGCAAAAGTGATGTTCTTACATCCAACTGTTTCATCCAACAAGTTCAGGCGCATCCCAACTTCCGCAGACCCCACAGCCTAGCTCCATCATCCGCTCCCACATCCTTCCATCCTCTCCACCCATCCCGGCGATCCTGTCGTTGCACCGTCTCCGGAAACCTCCGCGGCCGCTCCGCCGTGGCCTCCGCCGCCTCGGGACCGTCGAAGGACTGAGAATTCCATTCGGGGTCGAGGCCAAGGGTTGGATGCGTCCTAAAGAGTTCACAGGTATGAGAAGGTGGTGAGAACGCCGCCCCTCGCGATTAAAGTTGGAACGACTAGCAATGGCACGTGTCAAATATGTCTGGCTGTGGATCTGTCAGCAAGGAGCGCGCAAGGTGCGCAAGCAAGGCAAGGGAAGAGTTGTTGCTGGCTGTGTTTGGGAGCCTTGTCTTCCCATAGGTGAGTCAGAAGCTCGAGTTGACCCTACCTAGGGCGCGGTCGCTGCTGTAGTCAAAGACCTCAGTGCGGCTGGGCAAGGATGGTTTCATCACAAACAACCCGAGTCATGGGAGTGGAGCCAGTGTCGACTCGAGTTGGGTCGTGGAGGATGTGCGCGTTGCTTTGAAGGTCCTCCCTGGTCGATTTAAAGAACTTCATCTCTGATCACTGGCGCCTTCTTGTGGCCGTTCTTCTGCTGCACGGCTGATTGAAATAAATGTTGCAAGGTGAATCTGGCGGATGACATCAAGGTCATCAGCGTCTTTGACTGGGCCAAGGCTCCCCGGAATTCTACGTGGACAAGGTTGCCAGCATCAGATACATCTGCTGGCGCGTGATCACATATGTATATATGCTGAAACTTGCACGCTCACATCGGGTGGGTCCTGACAAATGCACATCACCCACAAGGATTGTGTGCAGTGTGTTTTGTTGTTACTTTTTTTGTGGTTCGGAGATCGAACCTGAGGGGTCTTGGCCAGCTGTTGAACTATGGTATCAGGCAAATGCTACAGCAACACATTTATGGATGAATATGAATGCCATATTTTTAGCCTAGACTTCTCCACCTGCGAAGCCAGGAATGCAAACCGTTCAAAAGGAAACAGGAAGGACCATCTCGACTGACTCGGAAGCCTCCCATCCCCGATTTGTTGGCCATGTCGGCCAAGATCTCTCCGCTCTCTTGATTTGCTAAAGGGGCTTCGAACCGAGAAACCGTTTGACACGAAGAGATCCTGGCAAATGCCACACAGTTGAACCACAGGTCCTACGAGTCCTTTCCAAAGCAAGGTCCAGTCTCTACAAACTGCGAGAGCACCAGTTGAAAAGCTAAAACATTGGCATTCTTCGGCACGTCAAACATGTTACCCCGGTCGCAACTGACCCTCTTGCTCGCCCGTGGGGAGTGAATTTGCGCTCCAAAGCTGTTGGAGGACACAGCCTCTGACATGCAATCGAAGAAGCATGTTCTTTCGTGCGTGTCCTTGGGCGGTGTCTACCGAAAAAGATCGATTAAAGGTTTCAAAGGTTTCTTCTTTGATATCTTCCATTGGTGCCAGGGTCTACCAATAAAATTGGAAGAAGATCCTCCAAGAACCTCTGCGGCCACGTGGCCACTCCGCGATCTGCGGGGCCTGGATCTCCACGCTCCAGTCGATCAATGGCCTGGCCACATGAGTCAGACTGACTCAAAGGATCTCAAAGTCTTTGCAGGGGTCTTTTGGTCCATGAATTGTCCGACATCATGCGCAAAGATGGTATTGAAGGTTGATTTACCTTCCAAAGTGGCACATCCATTCAATCATGCTCAATCTATGAAGATCTCCAGGTATCTCCAGGCAGGCAGTTCACATGCAATGGCACTTTGGTTCATCAGATACATGGCCAGCCAAAAGGGCCACGCGCAGCGTTAATATGCGTTAATCGCCTCCGGTGACACGTTGCTCACAGGCAGCCCAGGCGCTTCAGCCGCCTGCGTTTCATCGCGCACAGCTGGCAGCTCTTCCCCGGAATCGATAGATTGTGGCCGCTTCCTCAAGGAAACCTCTTGAAGTGGGGTTCCTAAGTGGAGATCATTGAGCACCCTAACTCAAAATCTCTGGTGGAGAAAGGAAGTCAATATCAATCCAAATAGCCTAATAATGACTTAATAGAGCATACATTGCATAAGGGATCATAAGGGAACCCAAGAATGAATATACACAGAACCAGGGATTCAGGGCATGAGCAATACCAAAGAAAGAGCGGTTGCAAAATACACCACAAAATCGGCATTGATGTGGAGTCGTGTGACTTATCAGCTTTGATTCATCCCACACACTCTGTGAAGGCATCTACTCCTGCACGTCCTTGCCTGCGCCTGCTCTGCAACCACCTGCGAGGCCAGATTGTGCAAAATGCAACTAATGATTGATCAGTCCTTCCATCCACTATATTATTAGTGGTAGGCAGTGGAAAAAGAGTATCAATACGCATGATTCTGATCATCTGATCACCGTACTCACTCACTAAGTATTTAGGTCTGGCACCTCAGGTCTGCCATTTCGACCCCACGCCACTACCTCTTGGACCATCTGAAACAGCCAAAAGCCACACACATGTGTGACACGTGTCCCACACGTGTGACGTTGCTCTTCCTTCCAGTGAGGTCGGCGGCACCTCACTGCCGTGGATGAAGCAAAAGGATAGGACGAAGAAAGGGATGCTGACCTCGGATAAACGTAGACGCCGTAGAGAGCCTTCACCTACTCGACACCCGGCCTCTTCGACAAAAAATCCGTGCAGCTTCCATGTTCGCTGCGGTTTCATGGTCGTTTTCGGGTGGTGCGAGGACTTTAGGATACTTTAGGGTGGTCTTTTGAACACTTTTGGTGTCATGGTTGAGGCTTGTCTTGGCCTACCTTGGCGTATACACGATCTTGTCACTTTTTTTCAGTACTGAGTCAAATCTTATCCTTGTTTAGTTCCCCATTGGCTGCCTTGGGTTTAAGGACATGAAACCTCGTGAATCAAAAACATCAAAAAAACAAACATATGGAGATGGAAAACAAACATCCGCTGAAATGTTTGCATATTTTTTCCAACCTCTTGGATTTGTGCAACTCCCATCTCTGTCCTCTTTGCACTCCCATTTCTCACATTTTCTCACTGTCCTTTTGTTCAACTGGGCATTTTCAATTGTCTCTAGGCCTTCGCTCTCCTCTTTTGGCTCAGGTCACTTGCAGGCCGCACGACCTGGACCTTTTTGCGCAAACGTAACAAGATGCCGGAGATTCCCCTGAGGCCGCCACGACAACCATCAACGTGGAATTCATCGCCACCACCACATTCCTCAGAGTTCAACACAACGAGTGTCGCATCTAGCCCCGCACGCTTCTAGCCAGCCACGACCAATGCGAGGATAATATGGTGTTTTTTTGAGCTCTCCCCCACTAAATCTCGACATGGAAGACCGTTGAGTACAACAATTTTCCTCGCAGGGCGGGGATCTTGTTCCAAGGAGCACCCCACTCAGTGTATCAGACTGACCCTGGAAAACATCACTGAACTTAAGTCGACGCTGGGAAAACGAAATGAAGAACCTGTGTAAATTGTATGTTGGAGGATATTGTCATTGTGTTTATTTGCGCGGTGGCCAGCTATACAGTACACTATCTACCACGTCCACCGCTTGACAGGGCCAAGCATCATAAAGTCGTCGGGCTTACACTGCTTCAGGTACCTGCCTCGGAAACACAATGGCTGTGTGCATGCGCTAAACACCCTATGGACGCAATGATAAGCCACGACAGCCTCCAAGCAAACGGAGGACCAGTGCAAGTCGTATGCGGCCTGTCAAAGTAACGCTCCGCCAACGCTGAGGAACACTTTTCCTGTCTTTCGTTCGGTCACCCAGGCGCATCAACGCGCATGTGCCTTGGACGGACCTTCTAGAAGTTTCCATGCGACCGGACCCCCTCCGATAGAATGGCTCTCCAGACATCTCATGACATCTCAACCCCTGGCTTGGCGAACCGGCCGGTGCAGGTTGCATGGCGTAACGCGTCGAGGATGCAGAGTCGAGCGCTATGCTTCACCCGTGTGCTACCCTGTGTCGTGGCATTGAATCAACCGAGCACCACCGTAGGCTCCTGTTGATCTGCGTGTGCCCCTTCGGTCAGTTTTGATATTCTCCACCATGTTTTCCATTTCCAGGTGCGTCATGCCCTAAAAAGATGAAAAAAACAGGGTTCAACTGTCAAAGGTTTGATTTCTTCGAATCACACGAATCGAAGGTCAACCAACGCCAAAAAGGAAGGCAGGTTGGGCATATAACTGCCTCTTGCGGCAAAATCAGACATTCTACCCAGGGCACGACAACAACGATCAGTGGGAAAATGATTTTGAATTTTAACTGTCCTTGTAGCAGTCGTAGTGGTAGTAAAGTCGCAGTAGCGGTAACCGTATTACTTGCAGTGGCAGTAGTGCGCAAAATGTTGCGCCTGCCCTTCGAGGTTCACAAAGTGATGTGCCTGCTATGAGAAGCGCCGCTCGAGGTTCACAGAGCGCTGCGCCTGCCACGAAAACCACATCTCAAAGATCACAAAAATCCTGCACCTGCCACAAAACCTGGTGGTTTGCAAAGCGCTGCGTTGGGTACGAAATCTGCACTTCGAGGTTCACAAAATTCTGTGCCGCCACGAAATCTGCACATTAAGACTCACACCGCGCAGCCCTGCCAACGCGTTTCGCACCAAAATGCACTTAAAGTGCCAAAACGCAGCTTTCGCTCGATGCGTTCCTTAAATTCTGAAGGCACCTGTCCAAAGTTCACGATTCACCGCACCTGCCACGACATCAGAGCGGCGAAGGCCACCGCCATGCCCACAGCGCTGTGCCTGCCACAAAATCTGCGCAGCGAAGTAGAACCACTGTAACCTCCCGCCTGCCACAGCAACTCGACTTTGGACCACCAAAACATGAGGTTTCCCTTGCGCTTGCCACAGAACATTGAACACCCAGTCCAGAAATACGCGCGGCACCACAACGACGAGAGCGTTGTCGAGAAAAGCACCCGCTGGCGCCCAGCAGTTTCTGCGAGCGGCTGTTTTTCACACGCCGATGAGCACCACCGATCGAACACAAGGCCCTAACACTTACCGTAAGACCCGTGACCACACTGCTTTACTGTTTGGTGATTTTACCATTTTACAATATTTTACATAATTTGACACTTCGAGGTCATCTTTCAAAAGGGGTCCTCCCCCTACCAAGGCACTGATTTGGGGGTTGCAAAAAAGTTGTCCTATGAAAACTCGATCACGCACCCGGCCAAACAAAAGAATCGGTTTTTGAGCTAGACTCTAGACCTCCTCCTCAAATGGCTTGGCGGAGCAGCCCGCGTTGCAAGCAATATGGCATTTCAGGAGTCCAAGTTCTATATACTTCCATCATTGGCGGAGGGAGTCTAAATGAGTGTAATCTTGCAACTGGCATTGACTTGCTGAATTCAAGCACCACGGCATGTGCCATACTCCAGGCCCAAACACTCAATCGGAATGTGCAGTTCTTTTGCTACAAGGATGGGGAAAGACGACACCCTTCAGCCGAAAACGACGTTCCCAACAACTTACACGTTGGTTTGGTCCAAAACTCAACACTCCGTCTGTCCCACCCAGGGAGCATGTTACTCATGGGGTGTTTCGCTCGATGGCGATGTCAGGTACGCTCGACACGAGAAACACATGGAGATGTGGATCGACAGCATGTTGGGATCATGTGCGGTCCATGGTGCAAGGCTCGGTCCATGCCATGGAAGAGATGTGTATTTCGCGCGGGGGACCACTCCGATCCCGCATACATGAAGCACCCATTTGTGTCACAAGATCGGTCATGGGCCAGTTCGGGTCACAGCTTTCAGAACCAGAGACGCCATGGATGTCCACCCTTCAGAATCTTCAAATCCACTGCTGCCTTTTACCTAGTGTTTGCCTAAGGTTGCGGTGTGAACTCACCACTTCGGACGACGACTCACCAAACATCTCACTTGGCTTGGGCATCTGTTGCTATACTGCTCCCTTCGTGAAGACTCATCGTTGTTTTCGGAGGAAGGTCACTGCCCACTGCCCGGTATGAGTGGACGACAAGGGTTTCAAAGGCATTTGCCTGAAAAAACTGCGACACAAATAGTATATATCTACATATATATATATATACACATTGTTGCTAATGTCTGCCTGCCCTTCTTGCACTCTGTCACCTGCACGAAGGTGGAAAGACATTGAGGGAACATCATAGCTCAGCCTGGTTCCCCATGCGAATCACGTGCGAATAGGTACACTCTTTCTCTGAAGCACATCGCAGCATAGCAGATGACAAGGACGGCATAGAACCAGGACCTATTAAAGATGTCATTATTTTTACAATGTTTGTATATGACACCTAAAACTCAAGTCAATATCATGAACACATATCGAAATCATTAGGATTAATCACCCATTGTTATTGTTGGATAGTGAATGATATTCAATATAACATGTAATTATTACAGTGTAATATTCAAAATGATTCAAGCAAAAAACAGTTGAGTTATCCCATCCAAAACGGGTCACACTTTTCTCCACTCCCTGCACCGAGGCCTGCATCCAGAGATAGAATGATCAGCAGAAGCATCGAGAGTCCTGGCAGCGGCACGGGCGATCCAAACAGGACCCCCCATTTTTCAATCTATATAGAGATCTGCTGACCCTATCTCAAATCAGGCATATGATTTCACAGGCACATGAGTCTGGAGTGAAAACAGGAACCCCCCAAAACCACTCTGCCTTCCTGCAGAGAAGGCATAGGTACAAAAACCCAGTGCTCCCATTGCGCCAATGGTGGAAGTGCTCCCGAAAAACTGAAAGTTCCGAATGATGTTCTTGGAGGGGGCCGCGCCATGTTTTCATGTTTTACACCCCCACTCGTCAGCCTCCCTGCGCAGTCCTGTGGAGGCCCACACGACTTGCCGATCTGCATCGGTCAAATGGACACTCACCACAAATGCCTCAGGTGCTTAAGGTCAGAGTCTGAGTCGCCACTTGGAGGAACACTTGGAGGACATTCTTTGCAAATCAGGGCATGCAAACAATGGGATACTTGCTCAATGACTTGCTTGTTGACTTTTCTCCCAGCAAGCGGCGCAGGCAAGCGAGCCGCAAAGCCAGCCGGGCGCCAAGAGGCACAAAAGCGGCATGGAGATAAAGCGCATGGAGATGTGCGACAGTACCTTGGGCGACACGAGACAAGTGGGTTGGAGATGTTGGAGGATCCAAGTTGGAGATGCTGAGTGAGACAAGGCCCCTATGACTATCGAGTTTTTGTTTTTCTTGAGATGTATGGTGTGAATATCTTTAAATCCCTTAGGCCCTTAGGGCAAAGTGGTTCACAGGGTCAATTTGGATGAGTTCCCCTTACTAACAGGATGACCACCCTCCGAAACACTCTGGAAAAGGACAAGTAAATGAAACCTGCTGGTCTCAACCAGGAGCAAGTGGGAATGTGCAAAAGACGATGGAAAATGTCTGTTGCCAGAAGTATGTGGTTATATCCGCCGACCCTGGCCTAGCCGATGCCTAGGCGGGGCGGCGCCCGGGACAGCGCAGCGAGAAGCCATGGCCAAGGACCTGTGCTACTATGCGGACTTGCACTCGCCAACGCCAGCCCGTTTTCGGCAGCTATAGCTCCTACGGCCTTGTCTGGGAGTGGCCACGCTGCCTTGTCTGGGAGCGGCCATGCTGCCGTCTGCTGGCCACCACCATGGTGGAAAAGCGTGGCGGAGCAGATTGTCGGGAGCCTTGGGAGTGAGCTTCTGGCACGTGCCAGGCAACTGTTTTATGGGCTCCCGAAGACAACGTGCCAGGCGACGTTAGGGCAGCAGGCCGCCCGGTGGCCATCACCTGCCTGCTGGCTCTGTGGCCATCACGTGGGCTGCCGCACGCCAGCACCCGCCCTAGCCATGCTGCCTTGTCTCAAAAAACAAAAAAGGGTCGGCGGAGCCAGGGCGGAGCCCTTACAATCCGGGCGCCGGCCACGCGCCCGTGTCCTCGCCGGAGGCCTTCGGTGGTAACCGAAGGTTATAGACGCTCGGCCCCCCTGCCGCCGACCCTCGCCACGAAAAACGGGGGGACCCCCTTTTCACTTCCGGGTCACTGAAGTCGCTGTAATTTACAGTGTTTTTTGCGCACGATGTTCAAAAACGGTGTGTTTTACAGGGTTTTGGGGCCCTCGGCAGCCGAGAATTTTATGTTGGCGATGTCAAAAAACGTGAGTTTTTCCATGGTTTTTGCTTTGCTGGTGGGAAAAATCGGAAAAAGTTGTCTCGGAATAGTTTTCAACTTAAATTGCCTAACATATCCCCAACATAGGCAAGATAGCCAACATATCCCCAACATATGCCCAACACAGCCTCCAAGATGGCTCAACATAGGCCAACATGGGGCCAACATACGCCAACATAGGCCCAACATAGGCCCAACCTAGGCCAACATAGGCCAACATAGGCCTAACATAGGCCAACATAGGCCCAACATAGGCTCAACCTGGGCCCAAGATGTGCCCAACATACACCACATGGGCCCCACTTGGCCCAACCTAGGGCGAAGATGCGCGCCAGCTAGCTTAACTTTGCTCCATATAGGCCCCACCAAGGCCAACATAGGCGTGACATACGCCCCACAAACCCAAGTGGGCCGGCGCCCGGCTGTTAGGCGTAAGCCTTTAAATTAGCTATTGATTATATCATGTTGTACTCTGATGTTTTTTCTTTCCTCGTTGCGCTGAGCTTCGGCGATGTGCACATGTTCCACTTTTGTTTTGCAGGGTTTCGACCATGTGTGACATCGGAAAATTGATTTCTACACTCTTAGCGTCCTGCTGGCAAACACGTCCCAGAAGCAATTGCAAAACTCAAGCACTGTTCAGCAACTCTCACTGCGAAATTGCTACCATGCGGACTTCAAAGGAGACATGTGCTCACAAGTGAGGTTTCAAATACAGTTACAGTAGAATCGAAAAGGTTCTCGTCATGATTTCGTTCTGAGGGGCAAAACTCAACGCACACAGCACACTTCAAGAGCGAACAAACAGCCACGAGAATGAAAGAACATATCTGAACATATCAAGTTAGATGTTAGATGATCAATTAATTGTTTCAACTCTTCTCTTTCTTCCAGTCTTTGAAGCAATTCTGGAATAACCTGCAAAAGTTGACTGTGAGACGAAGGGTTTCTGGAGTGTCCTACGTAATGTTGAACGTTGCCTGAAGGGACCCCTCTATATTTTCCACCTGAAGATAGCCCGGCCATCCAAATGTTCACCAATCATGTAAGGTTGTGGAGTGGCTTTAGCGGGACATGCGCATCATCTTGAACTATATACATGGAACTTGCATTGGAACTTTCATGGGGCAGCTGAGTGCAGACTAGGGGTCCATGATGGTCCATGGATAGAACAGAATATGCAGAGACCCTCTTTTAACCTGGCACTCGTTTATTCTAGCTTCGGCACTCATGTGGCAAACACTTCACCGTCGTCGAGAAATTCCGGGGCCGGGTCAAGCGATGAATAGGGGGGAATGGTGACGAGCCACAGGGAACGGTGAACCACACTCTGCTCCTGTTCCTGCATCAAGTATCTTGGCCTGCAAAATCGCGTCGGAGGGGTGGGAGTACCAGCTAGAATTTTGATATCTGCGGATCCGCAAAAACTGACTGCCGGGCATGGGTGCAGTGGCCACGGACATGGTGACGATCAGGATGCTGAGAATCCTCAGAAGGGCCCACGGCTTGGTTTGCAGGCATTCTTGACGTCCTACCTCCAAAGCCCTTTGATTGCCATTGCTTTCACTTTGTAGTTACAGGTAAACGGCCGACACTAACCACCAACCGCACCTGTTTTCCTTGAGCCAAAGTTAGGGTAAGTGAGACATGTATTAGACACACTAGCGTGAAACAACACCCCCCGCTGAACGAAAATGGGAGGAGTGAGGATATGTACAGTGCATGAATTACTGGACCTACGAAGGTATCCGGTCCCCCAGTACGTGCAATGCATCGAACCGGAACGCGCCTTGAGATGGAGAGGAAGTTTGACCTCAAGGACGTGCAAGTCAAAGCACTGTCACGTTTTACAGCTAGTGTTGAACATGTCAAAAATCGATACATGCAGTCAAGCTCAATGCACAATGTTGTAATAGGCTCTTTTCAGCGCAACGGAACAAGAAGTGCGATGCCAACCTTTCAGAAAGCAGGAACAAAGCCATCAAGGCACACGCTCCCGCGTGGCAACAAAGCACAACAAAAGAATGTGCGCTTCTGGGTGCAAGGATTTGGAGCCAAGTACTTCGACGAAAACGGCAACCGGTCCCCCGGTGCATCACAGAAACGGTCGATTCGGCAACCGCTCCCGCGGTGCGATGAGGGATACACAGCGCTCAACGACAGCCATGTTACCCATGGATTTCACTCTGCTCTTCTCCACAGGCAACGGCTCCCGCCGTGCGATGTGTCTACCACCTGCGGTGACTCCACCAGTCATTTCCTCGCCAATCGCTGCCACAACCACGGTCATCTTGCCACCAGTTTCGTGAAGATGACCACCACGAGGAGGATGAAGGATTCTGCCAGTCCTGTGCTGGTTCATTCCATGCCGCTCCCCACCATCGATGCTCTGCAGCCTCGGCCTGAGATTGAGCTGCTCTAGCCAAAGTCTGTCCTGCCCCAGGTGCAGCCTTAGCTTTCGGGATCACGAGAGCTCTGGTCTCTTTTACCAAATTGATGTTCAGGCCAGGGATGAACTGAGCATCTTCTGCCACGAATGCGAGAAGCTCGTCAAGCACATCATCTGGATCATCCTTCTCACAGCGCCACTCGCCACCAAAGCCAAGAATGGCCGGTCGCTTTGGTCCCTGGCAGTAGTCAGCAGCAAAGGTTTCTGGCCGATGAAGACGGTTCTTCCAGTAGACGAAGAAGTCTTCACTGATCTTGGCAATCTCGTTCATAAAGATGATCTTGCCGGAGTACCTGTGGCCAATCCCCTGAGCAATCATTTCACGTGTCCGAGGAGGATCAGGAATGACCGCATCAGAGAGGCGTTCCAGGAGCTGAATGCAGATGGGCGACAAGTCCTGAGCTGCGCAGTTGAATGCGTAGAAAGCATCAACCAGTTGCCGCTGCGAGACCGTCAGGCACATTTTCTCTGCCTTCTGAACATGGCTCTTGGCATTTGCCTTCAAGGATGTTGATGCCAGATCTTGATGCTCTTGGCTTTTCATGGCCAGGCGTCCCCGCCGGCGTTTTCCTCAATCCAGATCCTTGCAATCTGTCATCCGGGACCATGTCCATGGTAACTTCGACCCCAAGGTCTGATGCCATCTCTTCAATTCGGATGTGAGCTGAGCTGCTTTGCATAGATCGGAGGCATTGTTGAGGAAAGTGCCGCAGTTGGTACAGGACATTGTGCCATGAGTGCGTTCACAGTAAAGAGTTTAGGGTTTTCTGATTGGGGTTGGAAAGCCCACTGCTCACAAGACACAATTTCTAATTGTGCATTTCTGGCAGGAGGAAACAGCTGATGAAGGACTGATCCCTCAAAGCTTCTGGGACAGCTGCCAGCAGAAGGATGTGAAGGGCTACATGCCACTACATCAGCTACATCTCAAAGGGAAGCTGGCTGAGGGGAAGTGGAGAGGGCTGCCAGAGGTACCTGTGCTCCAGCTACAGGGGAAAGAAGAAGAACCAGGGCATCATCAAACCATGGAGAACTATGGGCTTCTGTAAAGAGAAGGTCAAGGGTTGGAAAGCCCAGTGCCACTGGCCTGACCTGGCCTGGACCAGCCTTTTTGCACAACTGATGGTGTTGCAAGAAAAAATGTAAAGGGTTGGACAGCCATGCAGCCTCAAACATAGGGGTTGGACGGCACCAAATTGTTTGTAAAGGGTTGGGAAGCCCAACATGCAGCCTCAAACCATAGGGGTTGGACAGCCCCGCAGGGGTTGGACAGCTCCAAATTGTTTGTAAAGGGTTGGGAAGCCCAACATGCAGCCTCAAACCATAGGGGTTGGACAGCCCCACAGGGGTTGGACAGCCTCAAATTGTTTGTAAAGGGTTGGAAAGCCCAGCATGCAGCCAGGGGTTGGACAGCCCATCAAAAAAAATACATGAGCTCACATGAGCTCACATGAGAAACCATGAGATCACATGAGAAACCATGAGAAACCATGAGCAACCCTGAGCAACCATGAGATCACATGAGCTCACATGAGAAACCATGAGATCACATGAGAAACCATGAGAAACCATGATCGCATGAGAAATCCCATTTTGCCAGGCTCAAGCAAAAGGTCCTAGAGTGGAGTACTCAAGTGAAGTGCTGAGATGGCAAACAAGTCCAGCAGATCTGTGGCAACCAAGAAGCCTGCCACAATGAAGAGGCCAGTTTCACACATGGGTATACTGAAGAGAAAACACCAACCAGACAAGGCAGAGACCAAGAAGAAAGCTAGGGCAGAGGAAAAGACTGCAGAAGAAAGTGAAGAAGAAAAGCTGGAAGAGGAGGAAGAAGAAGAGATAGAGGAAGCCTCCAGTGCCAAACCCTGCAAGTTGACCAAGAAGGCTTTGAGTGACCATGATACCTTCATTTGCAGAAGTCATGGAAGGCAAGCCCACCTTCAAACAGTGTGAGCAGCTCTTACACAAGGCTGACAACAATATGGTCATGAGGCTTTGGAAGCACTTTGAGACCAGTCGCAAGTCCAGCAACACTGATGAAGAGTACAAGTCCATCACAAAAGGCGCTGGTGGTGTCAGCAAGAAAAAAGAATTGCTCAGAGGGTGGGTCCTTGATGGGGGAAAGACCTGCAAGCATTTCAAGGAGACTTGCCAAAGCTTCAAAATGACACAGGCTGAAACTGAAGAAGGTGAGTGGCTCAGCAAGATGCAAATCTTGGATGCCATTGGCCCAGAAGAGCTGAAGGCCAGGGTGTTGGCAAAGACCATCGAAACCAGAAGGAAGAAGGAGGACCCCAGGTTTTGGGAGTTCAAGCTGAGGAAAGAGAAGGAATCGATCTCCAGGGAGAAGATGATCTCCAGCCACATGATGTCTCACATGGCCAGCAACAGGGATGAAATGCTGGAATTTGAGCCGGAGATGGGAACTTTTTTGGAAGGTGATGATTTTGAGTTGGTTGCACCTTCATCCTCCAAGGCAGGTGTGCACCTGGATGAAGACCTTGCCAAGTCGCTTGGCATTGGAAGGGACACCAAGCCCAAGAACAAGGAGGAAGGAAAGTGGGAAAGGGAAAGCAAGCTGTCGCAGAACTCAACAAAGCACACCATGGAGAAGCAAGTGATGAAATTCAAGTCAGAGTTGGCCAAAGAGGAGAACCTGCTGGAGACTGTTCTTGTGGATGCCAAGGAAGCTTCAATGGAGCAAAAGAAAAGGCAATCCTTGAACAAATCTGTGAAGGCAGAGCTGAAAAGAGTCACAGAGACCAAGTGCACTTTGCAGACCCTCCTGGCCAAGAAGAGCTTTAAAGAGGATGAGGTGAAGGGAGCCCTGCAAGAGGCATTGGCCTGCTTGACTGCAGCCAAAAAGACCAGGGCATCCAGCCAGAAAACTTTGAAACAGGTCATTGTGGAAGAGGAGGAGTGAGAGCTGCCAGGGTGAACTCAACCCATCGCACCCCCAGGAGCTTTGCTGTAAACAGTTTGAGGTGGGACCTCTTGATTTAGAGCCAGGAGCCTCCAACCCTTGTTTTAGCCATTTGCCAGGGGTTGGAGAGCCCCTTGCCAGGGGTTGGAGGAGAGCCCCTTGCAAGAATTTCTTGTTCAACGTGTGAATCTTGCAGTGTGCATATAGCTGGCCCAAACAAAGAGCAAAGAGCAAAGCAAGGAGCAAGGAGCAGGTTCTTCAGTGTTTGCCCACATTTCTTCAACTCCAACTCAGCCTCCAGTGTTTGCCCACATTTCTTCAACTCCAACTCAGCCTTCAGTGTTTGCCCACATTTCTTCAACTCCAACTCAGCCTTCAGTGTTTGCCAACATTTCTTCAACCCCAACTCAGCCTCCAGTGCCTGATCAGGATGGCTTCCACAAGAAGGGGTTCTAAAAGGCCTCTGGAAACCAGAGAAGATGTGGTCCCTTCATCACCTTTAGGCATTCTTCTGCTGCAGAAATGATCAGAAGGAGGAATGTCAGCAGCTGATGTGCAAGAGATTGCTTTGGCAAGCACCAAAACAGCACCAGATGCTCAGGATGTGCATGCCTTGTCTTCCTTGGGGGCTTATGGGTCCCAAGGTGGGAACACACACAGAGACTTGGTGAGAAGGTTCTTCAAAAACATCGCCCTACCTGAGCCATTTATGCTCCAAACCACAGTTTTTGCAAAAGCAAAGAATGGAAAAATGCAGAAGCAACCAGGTGAGCTGCCTATTCTCCTACCACATATGTGGGTGGCAACCCTTGAGGATGCTGGGAAGGATAAGGTGCTGGGCACCAAGAACTTGAGAACATTCTGGTCACAGCAAACCTTGAAGAACCCCAGGCTGAACAAATGCAAGGATTTCCTTGCCTCTTTTGCAAACTGGAAGCAAGAAGGTCCAATCCCTTTTTGCATACATGGTGATGCTGCACCACACAGTGAGTGTGATGGTTTGATGGTACTTAGCTTGAGGAGCATTCTTTGTGAGGTCTCGGTCCATATGAGCCAAATGCTGTTACTGGCAGCTCCCAAAGCCATGATTACACCAGAAATGTGGGCTGGTGTGTGGGATGTGTTGCATTGGAGCTTGGAGGCCTTGGCTTGGGAAAAAATGCCAAGGGAAGGTGTGAATGGAGCACAGCTTCCACCAGATTTGCTTCCTGAAGCAGGAAAAACCTTCCAGAGAGGGATGCTTTTCTGCATCACTGGCGATTTTGAATGGTTCTACCAAGGGTTTGGTTTCCCAAGATACAACCAGACCAACCCATGTGGTTGGTGCAGAGCCAACCAGACAGATATGCCATGGAGTGATTTCACATCTTCAGCCTTGTGGAGGAAGACCTTGCTGACACCAGAGGAATTGATGGCTGCTTTCAACCACAAAATCTTTACTGTCAGTGGGGTGAACCCAATGGCCCTTTGCTTGGACACACTCCACACCCTGGGTTTGGGTGTGAGCTGCCACATTGTTGGTAATCTGCTGTGGGAACTCATGCTGGGGATGCCATACAGCAGAGACATCTCCATGAGGAAGCTGAATGCAAAAATACAGAAATTTTATGAGAGTGAAGGCATCCCAGCCATGGACAGGCTGAGGACAATTTCACATTCTGACCTGAGAAAGAATGCACAGGAATACCCAACTTTGAAGCACCAAAAAGGAGCAAGGGTGAGGAAGTTCATTCCTGTTGCATGCAAACTGGCAGGGGAAAAGAGAGATGACTCTCATCATGCAAAGCATCGGCATGAGCTATTGCTGGCATTGAAAGAGATGTGTGACCTTTTGGGCAAAGAGGGCTACAAGTGGCAAACACAAGAGCATGCCCAGTTTCAAGCTGCATGTGAGAAGTGCATGAAGCATTACCAATATTTAGCCAAAGAGGCAGTCTCCAACAAAGAATATCTGTGGAGTGTTGTGCAAAAACACCACATGTGCCAGCACCTATGCGTACAAAGCAAATACATTGCTCCTAGACACTTCCACACCTATGGAAGTGAAGGTTTCATGAAAACCATGAAAACTGGCAGGTACCTGTCTGCATGGGACTCCAGCACATAAGCTGTCCAATGCAATTTTGATTAAGTACAGGTTCTTCTGGCACTTGATGCTTGCTGGTATCATAGAAGAAGATTGAAAACGTGACTGTGGACTTGAGCAAGATTTAAAGGGAAGATAGGACATGGGTTGGAGAGCCCATTTAGGGTTTATAAGCTTGAAGAAATAGGACATGGGTTGGATAGTATGTAGGTACATGAAATGCTCTTCAAAGATTGGTTCCCCAAGTAAAATTCTATTGATTTCTCGATTGATTTTCATGGCTCCATTCTATTGATTTTGTGTATTTTTTCGATTGATTTATCAAAAAACCATTTCTATTGAAATTTTCAATATTCTATTGAAATTTTTGAAAAAACAAAATTCGATTGAAAAAATCAATATCGATTGATTTTTTTCAATCTGGGATGCTCTGGGCTTGAGCCATTGGAATCATCATCTCCACTTGATGAACTGGATGAAGACGGAGATGGAGAAGGAGAGCGCTTCTTTCTGCGTTCTCGGGAACGGCCTCTCTTCGGGCTCTTTTCCTTCTTCTTCCCCTTTTTCTTTTTCTTCTTGTCCTTTCCGGACTTGCTTTCATTCTCTTCATCCGCATCTGATGGGTGTGGATCGTCACCGCCCACGTTCCCGGGCTTCTCCAAAGGAGTACGGAGACTCGCAGGAGGGGAAGCTGGGGATCCCTGAGACCCAAGTGGCTGTACTGGCGGCACAGGCACTCGGTTCCCCGAGGCGCTGTCGAACCTTTCTCTTAGCTCTTTGATGATCCGACTTTGCTCGGCAAGTTCTGACCGGAGGGCATCCTCTCTTTGCCTAGCTGATGCGCGTTCACTCTCAATGACGGCATGTCTTTCGAGCGAAATCCGATGTAAATAAGCCCTTTGTTCATGGAGTTGTTGGTTCTGATGGGCTTGATTCATGTCATTTAATCGTTGATTGGCAATAGCCTCATGTTGTTCCCTAGGCTCCTCAATAACCGCCCTGGCTTGGTTAGCTACAGCTTCCCTGTACTGCCTAGCCTCATCTGCTACCTGCTGCCCGTGCTCGGCCAAAATGGCCTGATGCCTTAGTTCCGCAATCTGAGCTACCTGAGCCGATCGATCCTCGTTGACGAATAGTCCGAATAGTGCTTGTTGATGAATCTGTCTCGCATCAACGTTTTGAACATTCAACATAGGCGAAAACTCAGCTTGGAAAGGCGACGGTGGTTGAACAGTAGGCACCAGGCCCCCCTGGGCACTGAACGACGGAGGCTCAATTGGCCTACGAAGGTCCAGCGGAACAACAGGGAGTTCAAGTGCAGGTGAACTAGACATTGCTGGGGAAGTCGGAACATAGCCTGATCGGGAACGGTCACCACGGGAACCATCATCTTCAGCCATGGCCTCTAAGTAGTGCACTACTTACGGTGGGTGAGACCACAGCTAGTTACAAGCACATACCGCACTTGTGGCGATACGGCTGATAACCTGTAGTTACAGGTAAACGGCCGACACTAACCACCAACCGCACCTGTTTTCCTTGAGCCAAAGTTAGGGTAAGTGAGATATGTATTAGACACACTAGCGTGAAACAACACACTTTCCCAGAGCAGGCGCCTGCGTCTTGTCTTCGTGTTTGATCTTGGAAGTTGGACCCAGTCCTTTCTGATGTAATTCTGAGACAATGTCCAAAGAGGATTCATTGCGGATTCATTGTTGTGCCACTTGGGCTGGTGAAAACACCGGTTTTCACACCCCGGTGTTCTCCTCTTCTCTTGTTCTCAGCTGACCGGCCGTAACCAATGGCGGTCCTAGGGGCTGGAAGTGGAGGGTGGACAAGACCACGGCCCGCAGCATCCCCCAGAAGACGCCCGCTAAGAGCGTGGTCATGGCCAGCATCCTGAGTCTTCCAGGGAGAGAAAGGACCCACTGGTCTCGGATCCCCTGGTCATCAAGGGCGGGGAGCGGAAAAAGTGGATCCACTTCAGAGGAAACAGGTCTGTTGGATCCACTGTTTCCTCTTGTTGGGAAAGGTGCCAAGAGTGGATCCACTTCAAAGGTCTCGTCTTCGAAGGTTAGGAAGATGGCCCAAATGCCCAGCCGTTTGTGCTGATTCCTTTCTTCACTTCTCGTTGAGACGTGGAACTGCTCAGCCGTTCAGTCTGGTCGTTCGCTTGGTGACGATCAAGCCCGTTTCGGAGGACCATCTGTTCCTCTCTGACTCTCTGACCGCAGTAAAATGATGGTGTAAAACTAGGAAACCACGTCGAAACAGGCTCCTACCCAGTCCCAAGACTCACCACCCTCAACCCAACCCTGTGGCGCGAGACTTCGTGTCGAGGCACACGTAGTTCCAGGGATATCTTTCTCGGAGGCAATGCATCCCCTTGGGTGCACGATGATTCAATTGTGGAAAGCGGAAAACCACTTGTATGGAAACATGGTCTTCTCAAGAGGCATTTGGTACGTACTTTCATGCTAAGCAAAGTCTGAGCGTACGGCCACCCTCCGCGAATGAATTCCGGTAATTTGTTATGATAGGTGCTCTGAGTCTCTCCTTTTTTTGACGGCTTCCATGTGGCTCAAAACAAAACGCTCCCAAAGATCATGCACTAATCCTCAATGATGCAGCATCCCAATATTGAGATTAAGTGGATGTTTGATGATGTTTGTAGAAGCTATACTCAGCAACCACTTATTCAGATTGCGTGTAGTGGTTCCCATTGTCGGAGTAAGGATGGCGAGCTGCACTAAGCTTGTGGTATGCCCCTGGGTTCAGTGGAGTGCCAGCGATTCTGGTCGCATTTGCTGCTCCTATCAGTGCAATTCGGCCGATAGGTCTCTACACGGGCCCCTGTTGCGTTCGGCTTTGAACTTTACAATCGACCCAAAACCAACAACCGTTCCAAACAAACCACGACGTGGTGTGCGAGACGGTCGTTCTCTTCGCGTTCAAACCGCTTCGTTCTGACATGGCTGGGCTACGACTTGGTGCCGCAAGAACCACCCAAATGGATGCCTTTCCATTCCTACAATTCCCCAGAAGAGCTTCTTCTTGGGGAAGCCCCATGGTGCCGGGACAGGAGTGGAGCATCGTGAGCGATGCCTCTTTCTGTCGCTACCAGTGCCGCTGGAGGCAGCTGAAACCAGAAGACACCACGGTGATGGATTGGAAGGCCTGTGAAGGCCCTGTGAATCGTTCTTCCTCAGGCTTTGAGTGAGTGGTTGGTTCGTCATCCCACTGTTTCCCGCATCCCAGTGACCAGCGTGCAGAGCAACGTCCCCGTGCCAAAGGTATAGAAGAAGATCTCGCGTGGCTCGGTGAGTGCGGTTTTTTCTGTCCAACACTGAGGTGGTGGGCCTCTGGTGGGTTGGGCCCATGAGGGTGAGGGGTCTCTGCAGTCTCCCAATGGTTCACCTACTAGTGCGTTGCACTTCTTCTCTGAACATGTTTGAACCATGGCCGCGTAACTTATGCAAGCAGCAGCTTCAGGTCTTCACATCAGACCATCAGACGTGAGTGTATGATAGTGTATGTCAGTATTGATTTCCCCTTTGACCAGGAACCACTCATCAGGACCTGCAACCGTCATCCCAAAGCGGAATTGCGGGGCCGGGCCCCGGACGTCTCCGCGAGACGTCACGCGCCTCTCGTTTCGCATAGGTCAGGTTGCCGTACATCAAGACCTCCTCCCAGGGGCGAAAGTGGTCTACCACCGCCTGGCAGCAAAGGAGTCCAAATGTCTTGCTGGGTGCTTGGAGTGCATTGCAACACAGTCGATGTTCGCTTTTGGCGGCACTTCAGCCTCTTAGTCATCTCTAGTCTCTACAGGTCCCTGCAGGGAGTTGATTGATGTTGATTGATCTGAAATAGATGCCCCCTCTCATCACAACAGCTCCTTGTCCTAATAATCCGGGGCACGGACCTTGATGGTGAAGACACACACCAGCTGCAGAGTGACAAGCAAAAAGCACTTCATGCGAAATGCCCTGACCAAGCGTTGGAGTGCTGCAGGTCTACGTTCAGTGGAGCCCCTACGGGTGCCCCTACGACTGGCTTCTGGATGGTGCAAGGGATCATGAATCCATTTGATTTGGGTACTCCATGGTACTCCCGTACTCCCCTGCACAAAACCACACGGACCCCCCAAAACCACTGGCTTGTAGAGGAAAATGATCTTCCACAGGTCAATTCTCGGGTTCTGTGTTAGTTTGCGGGGGAGTATCACACGGTATCACAATCAGTGCGCAATCCACCAAGTACAGAAATCTTCACTGACCAGCGTGATTCCCATCTCGATCTCAGCCTTTAAATGATGCGCACATGCCCCGCATGTGCCTTGGATTGGAGCAAAATCATAGAAATATTTTTAAGTAACCTAAAATCACCAAGAACAACTATATTCCCAAGCCTGCAACCATGCTCAAACCCTTGCCCTTGTGATTTGCAGAAGGTTGGTTGGAAGGACTTGGCAGGTGACAATCAGGGTCATCCTACCCATCATGAGATAGATGTCCATCCCACGGTCCATCCTGGATATTCTGACACTGCCACAGCTTCTCAGAGTGGTTCACGCACTTGCACAAACATTCCAAACGAACACCAGTTGGTCGTTTCGTGGGTTGATTCGTTACAGCTGCTTGTCATCCGGCATGTGTGAAGATTTGAAATTATATACTTTGTGACGTGCCATCATGTAAGACTGTAAGACTGAAGTTCGCACAGGTTCAAAGAAGCTTCAGCCTGCGCATGTAGTCAGGCATGCTCGTAGGCTTGCTGGGATATCGCCATAACGACCTGGAAACCCGATTGCCAAAGCCACAAGAACCAAAAGAATCTCCATCTGCCGCCTTCAAAATACTCTGATCAAAAGGCTTCTTCTGATCATACTACATCATCTTTGCAAACATCTGCTGTCGGTCAATCTCACGCAGAAAATATTGCACAATGTTGGGCAAAAGGCACTCCTTGCCAAGACCATGCAAGGCCGTTCACCTTCGGAACTCGATCTGATTCTATTTGGGGATCATGTTCGTTGCGACACTCAGCTCCGACCTGATGGAGGACTGAGTCGAGATTCTCCTGCTGCGACCAGCGCGGCGGAATGCACCGAACACACGGCGGAGTGATGGCAGTTCAAAAAGATGGACTTCTATTAGGCTACTTCTTCGGGGCTCCTGACTCCTCGGAGCGATCGGACGCTACGTTCGTTCGGGGCGGACGCATCGCGCCTCGAACGGACGCTACGAGGACGCGACGAGGACGCTGGGATCACTCGGATCGCCGGTTTCATCCTGGACCGTCCTGGACCGATCGGCACTGCTCGGGGTGTCTCTCCTTGATCCGTGGCCACCCATCCAAAGCTTCGGTGGCACTGCGAAATCCGGGATCACCCGGAACGGCGAGCTGCTCGAGGTGATCAGAATTTGTATGAATAATGTGTGTTAATTTGTTGTTCAGCTCATGGCACCCTGTCCGACCTCATCCAATCTCGTCCCATGATGGAACCTGAACCCTCAAAAACACGTGACTTGATTCAAGGAAGGAGGAACATTGCAACGAATCCTTCTCAAATAACCGGGTCTTGGTGGAGCAAGGCCGCCGGAGTTTGGCCATGACCTTTACAAACTTATATAAGTTGTGCCTCTAGAGCATGCACGTGGAAGCCATGGAAACCTACCCTTGCCATCCCCACTTCGACCCCTTTGGACTGGGACACCGTCTACCCTTCACCACCTTCATGACCTTTTTCTACTGACCGGTCACCTGTGAAGAAGTCCACCACCCCCCACCCTCCACCACCCTTCGGATCCCTTCTTCGGTCCTCACGGACCCTGCGTAGCCCTCCGCCGAACGACACAGTGACGACGAAGCAGGGGGCCCCGACCCCGAAGGGGAGCAGCGAACACATGCAACCGGCGGGCGGGGGGGGAAGTCCATGAAGTTGCGTCCGGGCGGCGCTTTCGACCTTTTTTGGTCATCTTTGGACATCTTTGGTCCCCATAGTCACGTGGGCGTGGTTGCCGGGCAGCAAAAGTGCAGAATGCACGCGGCACGGAAACAAGAATTCGGCTCATCAAACTTCTTGGCTGACTCAGTCTAGGACCCAGGATACTCTGCACGACTCACTAATTTATGTCTTCCGGGGTGGCTTCTCGTGACTCACCATGTCATACCTCGAAGAGTTCATGATGGTTCATGCATGCCTGAACGAGCAACTACTGCTGAGTCCACGTCGTCCAAGTACGTTTCCAGTTTGAAGGCCAAGCGGTGCAACCCGTCTCCAGCTTGGATGACTACCTAGGACATACTAGGACTAGGGGCCAACACCTAGATCGGCCTATATATAAGGCCCCCCAACCTCCAAAAGCCCAAGCTCAGGCCCTAGGGCTCTCTTCCAACTGGCGCTGGTCCTTCGGTTCCGTCCCCGAACTCGTCGGGTCGGCCTCTCCGCTCGTCGAAGCCCTGCACCGCTGGGGCGGCGTACGCCGTCTTCGGCATGTCCCGCTGGTCACCCCAGGCTTTTCTGCGGAAGTGTTACGTGTTCCTAAGCCCTACGAGAACATGGTGAACAAGGATGATCATGAAAGGCCCAGTCTACCAGGCGATGATCATGAGAAGCAGCACAATGAGGTGCAGCTGTCGGACCACGTTCGGCGTGACCGGGAAGGAAGAGAAGTTTGAAGACACATTTCGAGACACAAATCCTTCTTAGAGTCTCCCAGGTGCAAGGCCGCAAGGCCCACAATCTGATACAACCTCTATACCACTGACCCCCTCAGCTTCATTGGAGAATGGAGTTTATATGAGTTTATCACTCTAGCCGGTTAATCATGGTTATATAACCGCAATATCACTGTTTATAGCGTGTTTCCACCTTTTCCCCGCATTAGACCAATGACAACCAATCCCAACAAGGCTGGGCCGACCGGATCCACCAAGGGGTGGGTCGTATGACAGGCAGTGCACATGGGAGACTGCAGCGAGTCAAGTCGAGGTCGCCTCGCCGGGAATTCCCCGGTCGCCTTGTGTCAACAACCGCGGAGTTCATCGCCACTGATGGGCCTCTGATGGGTGAGTTTCGTCATCCAGCATCTCACTGGTTACCTGCCGATGTTTAGCTAGGATGACAGTGGAACTGGTCGAGTCAAAAGTCTGCGAATTACCACCCAGCGTTCTACTTGAATCACAAAAACTCACCAACCTGAAAAACGTTGGTTGATGTCGTTTTGGTCTTCGTGTTTCGCGCGTCTGGGAGAAACGTGATCCAGCCGGATGGACCTGTAACACGAAAGATGCGTCCTACCCTACTGGGCTCCTTTTCGGTTCGGTGGGCGTTTTCCAGAAACAGCATGCAGGGATTTCAATGGCCCTACCAGGGCGCGAAACCGAGCTTGCACCGCTCGCGCCTTGGGCTGATAAAGTGAAATTGCTAATCCTTCACGTACGTATGTGTTTGTTGAAGTATTTCAGTGTGATGAGCTGCAAGGTGAGGGAAGCAAGCAAATGGAGCTTAAACCTCTTGCATCACCTAATTACACCCAATTCTGACCACAAAGGACACCTGCCCACTCCCCTTCCACCAGTCTTGCACCAAGGAGCTATTGGTCCTCACAGGGACCAGCAACTGGACTGAAAATAGCTGTGGCCGGGCTGTGGTGTTGACAAGCCTTTGAGCATCTCCTCACTAGACAAATACTGAGATTGCCGTCAAAAAAGGATAAAACCGGTCCAGAAGCATCAGGCCTGTCCCTCTCACCTGCATCCATGTGCAAAGGGCCCACGTCCCTTTTTGGCCAATGAATGCCGTGGCTGATTCTCGAAGGCCATGCTTGGCATGGATCTTCATGAAATGTTCATGAATGTGATTTGGCAGGGCATGCATGTTTTTGCCAAGTATGCAGGTCTGTGTCGAACAATACCTGGCTGGTCGTTCTGACTTTGAGATCAACATCATGCCCCGCCACACCAAAATCAGTACAAACCTCCCCCGCATGCCAAGCTTGTGATGACAAGGTCACGAGAGTGGTTTTTTCTTGCACTCGGGCCAGGCAGAACTGCTGAGTCATATGTCAGGGTCACTCCGCCAAAGCCGAGCCAAGAAAATATAAAGAGTCGCACTGCTATCGTCAGCCGTCCAACGCGAAGAAGGCACCGGGGGTCGGTGTCATGGAGCCTGATGTTTGTGGAATGTCTCAAGGCTTTACCCCTCGGAACCCCGGTCATCGTCGTGCCATGGCTCAGCCGAACTTGCCCATGGCTATCGGATGTTGGGGTGGGACTTACTGGAAGGGTCTACATGGATCGTCGTCACAGGACTGGGATGAGACAAGAATAGACTGAATGACCATGCAGGGGCCTGCTACAGGCTTGAAGATTATGCGTTGCAGGGCCTTGCTTCTGGCAGATCGTACAAGTAGCTTGAAGGGTTTTTGTGACGCTTTTGGGGACTGACGATTTTGCCAGCATCGGTAGATGGGCGGGGTCGTGTGGCGAGGAGAAAATGTCTCAATCAACCTTCCTTTTGCAGCAATCCCATCCCGCAAGTTCCACGGTCCTTTGTGGATTCGCTGTGACCGTAAAACCACATCAGGGATAGGAATAAAAATCCGCCTGCGGCGTTCTACATTCAAAGAAACGGTACTCAACTCTTTCCACAGCCACACGTTTCAAAGAACGCACATCATACATAGCCAATAAACAAATTTGCTACAATAATACTCTTCAACAGTTTTTGAATTAGAGTCACCCAACCTGTATGCTCACAAATGTTTATACATATAGATGTATATATATACGCCTACTTTATATACTTGTAGACTATATATATATGTGTGTGTGTATGTTTGGTCTTGGTGCATTGACCACCTGCCCTCAAGGATCGCCACGCAAGACCTCCAACCTTAGACCTATCAAAAACCCATCCACCACGAAATGATGCACTCAACCCCTGCACCCTCAGAAGATATTTGAACCAAGACTCAAACACCTTCTCTCTTCTGCATTCGTCCTCTTCTTGCAAGAAACCCTGAGTTCATTATATAGAAAACATATGAAGTAAAGATGAACAATGAACAACATTGAACGATACTTATATAACATATTGAGTCCAGTTTTCCATTATTCTTTGCAACACCTGGATCATCTTTTGACTCCCTCCGAAGCCCCCGAGTTCACCCCACCTCGTTCGGCCCAGCGTCCCCGGGTCGTTTCCAGCTCTGATCGAAGGAGGTGCCACCGCCCTTCGCCACAGAGCTGGGTCCACCGCGGGTGTGGGTGCCGGTGTACGTGCTGCGGTCGTAGAAGAAGCCTCAGGTTGCAGCCGGATGGTCTGAGGGTGGAGCACGAGGAGAAATAATCACCCAAAGGAGGGATGGGCTTGAATCACTGCAAGGGTTGATAAAGAAAAAGGAAAAAAGATGAAATAAGTGCAGCAACACTTACGGTTGTGGCCATGCATTCTTCATTTGCCCCTTTACGTTGGACACTGGCTCGGGGATCTGAACATGGCAAAGAACATCTAAAGCAGCTGGCGTCGCCCAAACTCCACGATTCAAAGGGGATATATATATATATATGTATATGCGTGTCCTTTTCTTGTTGGATGTCTAGGGCGCCATAGGGCTGGTAGAATTCCAGTATATTCCAGTCATCTCATCAAACCAACCTATTCACTTCGACCTATTCATCCTCCCCTTATGACACGGAAGCACCCACAAGAATACATGGAACTCAAAAAACTGTCACGACTCCATCTAGTTATGGTCGGTGAATCTTGAAACGATTTTCTCAACATCCTCCGACCTCCACCCAAGAGAATGATAAAATCGGTGCGAAGTGCGTCGGTCAAGAAACCAAAACGAACGCCTCGCCATCAAAACGCTCACCCTCGCCCTTCCCATTACCTGCTTACCGCAGCACGTTCGGGGCCCACCAGCCCACGGCCGCCACTAGCGCCGCGGGAGGCAGGGCGTGCGCTGGGACCTGCGTGCGATCCGCTGAGCGCATACATGATCCCTGAAAGCGATGACCTCCACCCTCATAGCGATGACCTCCACCCTAATATCGAGCCTGGCATTCCTCCAAGACCCAATCCTCCTTTCCTGATATCCTTACCTTCTACGGATCACCCTGTTCGCCGTTCGAAGCGCCAACTCGCCTTTGGAGCTCGGTCGGCCCACCGAAGGTGGACGTGGAGACTTCATCTGGGGCGGCTCATGCGGTGGGAGGGTGGGCGGCGAAGAGAGGCTCCACAGATGTGGACTGGACATATAGACCCCCAAAAGGATAGAAAAGTAAATCCCCATGTAAATATGATCTAAAACGTATTGGAAACCATCTCTAACCGTCTCCATCTAATTATTTGGGGACCCCTAGATGTGCAATTGGACATCATTGGATTATATATAGAGATGGCAAGAACTTGAGAACTTGAATGCATAGAGCCAAAAAACATATTCTGTCATCTGCTACCGGGCTAAAGTATAATCCAAGGCAAGCTTAGATCATTCTCAGGCCAAGTAACTGACGAGACTATCGGTGAAGAATGCTTGCCGCTTTGAGGTTTTGATACGATGTTGCCGTGATCATGCCCCTCAATTAAGCTGTTATCTTCAGGCTTGAGGCCGCATACTTCACAAAAGAATGCAATGCTGATACAAAACCCTTCGATGGCACAAGAGCAGCTAAGTTCATCTCAGGGCGCTAGAGCCACGAAAACCCGTGTAAATCCCAACTCCTACTCCGGGATAGAAGGGTAGAGTCGAGTGATGCGCGCATCACATCCGGGGAGAGTCTAGTCTATGCGCTCTGTTGGCGATGTTGGGGACGGGGCACCACATCCGGCAAGCAGGAGGGGCTCGCTGGTGGCGCTGCAGCTCCTGAGTGAGTGCGGAACACAACTGCCACAAATCCAGAAGGCACTGCAGCTGTGCCTGTTGGAGGCCAAACCAGATTTCAAGATTCGGGAATGACTTCTTGGACGACCCCTTCCAACGACATTCAGTGGTGGGCTCTGTGCCATCTAGAGCTACTGAACCCCCAAGGCTCCTCCAGACAGCAAGGTCAGGCGTGCCAGGTCTTCCAGCTCTGCAGAAGGCCTCCCATGCCCATGGAATCCCATGGAGTTCCACTACTAAACTGCGGCGCAACAATCCAGTGGAAGACACCTTTCTGTTGGCGCTGCTTCGTAGTTGGTTGAAGGAGGTTTCAGGAACCTGAACCATCTGAACCTTCCTGGATCCCTCCAAGTTCGGCACTGCGTAGGACCCCACAGAAGGCACACCCGTCAAGATCCCGTCAAGCTCACCAATCACTACGATCAAACAATGAACAAAATGAGGACAGACTATACACCACTAATGTAGACGGTTGATTAACAAAAACGTTCCCGAGTCGGATTGAAAAGGGGTTTCATATGACGGGCGTGATTCATCAACAGTCCACATCATACTGCACAACAATGTTCAACATCTGACCGAAGCCCTTTGATTAGTTGGTCTTCCCCAGTGTTCATTGGATTTGCATGGGCCCCCAAAGCCTGAATCATACATTACTACTACTACTACTACTCCTACTACTACTACTACTACTACTACTCCTACTCCTGCTACTACTACTACTACTACTACCATGTCACCAGTTTCAATCGGTTTTCTCATGCTTTCTCTCACGTGTTGTGGCTTAGTGGCTTAGTCGAAAGCTTCAATCCTCCAGAACGGAACGCCGGTATCTCTTGTTCACGTTCACCTGTGCCCCTAACTTCCCTGCCTCTTCCATGTCCGGTCAGGTGCTGACCCTGCACCTGGCCATGGCCCGACTACAAATGATTGCAGGCACATCCAAACATGATAAGTGGGGCCGCATGGGGCTCTGAGCCTTTTGGCCAGCTGGTTGGTTCTATGCACACCAGGACTCGCAACAAAAATTTAAACAACTTCTCGGGTCCCAGGACCACCCCATCAATGCAACTGAAAGCACGACCTGCATGGATGTCAGAATTACAGCTTTCCGGAACCAATTCGATACACCTTGGCTCTCGACAAAGCGACAGCCATCCCTTCCTTCAAACAACAATAAGATTGGACAACAACTTAGTATGCAATTAAATAGGCATGTCTTTCCCGGCTCATCCACCTTATTCCACCTTCTTCTCTCCCGCCTTTGGCCACATGCTCCGGTCCACCGTTGGAGTGGGTACCGGTGTAGGTGCTCCTGGGGTCAAACACCGGCGTTGTGGGTGTTGGGGGCACTGCCATTGCGAGCCGGTGCTAGAAGCAGTTGGTAGACCGATGAGATCATTATGCACCATGTTGCCCAAACAATTCATAATTTTTTTCCTCCATGTTAGTGAGAAAACAGAGTGATTCTATCTAATGCTGCTAGGGGCTGGGGACCTGCCATTGGTGTTCGCCTCGACCTACCTCCGTCCTTTGGTTCATGGAAGGCTGCCCAAAAGCGGCTGCACAAGCATCGCAGCATCATGCCCGCATATAAACGAAATGTTCACAGCCTTTAGCCTTTGAGGATCCCGCATTGCACCATCATGTCCATACCCCTCCGAGGACCTCCCAATTTGTTCGGAGTAATCCGCAATCTTCTGGAGGGAGGGAGGCTAGCAAACATTCGCTTGTCGAGAAGAAAATCTATAGACTGCTTCGTAAAGATGCAACACACAATTGTCGAGGAGAAACACCTCCCTTTCTTTGCGTCCAAAACCCGTTCCAACACCTCCCTCCCAGCACGCCAAACAATCCCGTATCACTTAAAACTCCGAAGTGAACACCACCACCCACCCCGATATCTAACGGAGAAAAAACACCGCTGCCTGTCATAGAAGAACCGCTCAGGTCCGCGGAGGGAATGCTGGCGCACGCGCCGCTGGGCGGCTTCGTTCGTCTCCTGCGCCGGGGCCGAGGTGGGTCCGAAGAGGACGCCGTGCGGAGGGACGCCACAGACATATCGTCAGTGATGACCGTTTGTCAGACATATCGGAAACATGATATAAATATAGAAAAAAAGATAGAGAAAGATAATGACATGTAATATATAGATACATCTGTATATCCATATGTGTATATACATATATATATATATTTATGGCATGGGCTCGTCACATGTATATCTATATATACCTGGAACTATACCTGGACGAATGGAGATCCCGGATAGTAGTTTAGGGGTTTCCATTGGTGAACCATCATGAAATGTTTGGAAAGATGTGCACCGATGACATGTCCAAAGGGGGCGGTGGCTTCCATGGCTGTTTTTCACGTCCATTAATAGTTGGGCCATCCTCCTTCTATTCTACCCATCTTGGCAACTTTGACAACAGCAAGCCAGCTTCGACAGTCTCCTGAGCACCGGTGGCGCGTAGCCCACTCGTAAAGGCGCTGTTGGCAATACCATCATCATTGTCATAGCGTGGCGCACCCCGTTCGTTGCAAGGTGCATTGCACACCGCAGTCCTAGCATCTGCAACGATCAAGCACTAAGCACACCAACCCGTCACACAACCGTTGCAATTCGCATGGCGAACCTGTGCATCCAGTGATAACCGTGTTGCTGGTAAATCCACTTACTGGTGCCCGTTGAAGTTAATACATTTTGCATGTGGGATACTAAACCACCATGGAACGCCGATTTGCAAAAGTCAGTACTTAAGTCAAGACTGCTGGCCTTCCCCATTGTAAACGCTACATACAGAACAAGGTTCTCCAGATTCAGATTTCCAAAAAGAGAAAACTTCAACTGCAAATCCCAATGGCAACGCAATTTGGAGAGCTACCCGACGTGGTAACTTACCCCATACATGAACTTGACCCACCCCCATGGCACATCGCTTACCCCACGAATGTAAGAACTTACCCCATTTGGACAAAATGGCACACCGCTTCGAAACAAACACTTTTCTCCTAGATTGTTTCTAAACCTACACTATTTCATTGCGATTCAACCTTCTACATGTTGATGTTTTCAATTGTTATCTATGGGTTGCCGTGATCCAATCCCCATGGCACCCCGATTCTGACCCACATGTTGGTACCAGCCTTAAGTTTCTACCTGGAGTGCAAACAGCATGGAATTGTTCTTTAAACGTCAAAAATATCTATGCATTCTTGTGCGTATTCTTTCCCAATCCCCATGGCACACCGCTTCGAAACAAGCACCTTTTCTCCTAGCCTAGATTGTTTCTAAACCTACACCATTCCATTGCGATTCAATCTTCTACACGTTGATGGGTTCTAAGGTTTCCTATGGGCTGAAATGATGGCACACCGATTCTCACCCACATGTTGGCACCACATTTAAGTTCCTACCTCGAGGGTAACCACCCAGACACGAAAGTCCTTGCAAAGCAGTTGCGGCAAGCAAATCACACTGTGACACCACACCACGGCTAAGTCACGGCAGAGTCACTTAGTTTTCGCATGGGACACCGCGTTTCACCAAACAGGCCATCTAAGCCAGAACCATGCTTTCCAAGCCCAGTTTACAACCGGACACTGCCACAATGATAGGGTCTGTGTAACAACAGCCAGCAGCAAATGAGTAGGCTTTGTAGCGCAGGCAGCGGCAGCGGCAGCAGCAAGCAGCAGCCAACCAGCAGCAAAACAACACCAACAACCCAACAGCAGCAGAAGGTAACCAGCAGCGGCCAAACAGCAGCAGCAAGCCGGCAGCAGCAAACCAGCAGCAGCCAAACAGCAGGCACCACCAAGCCAGCAGCAGCTAACCAGCAGTATAGTAGCCAACCAGCGCCAGCAAACCAGCAGCAACTGGCAGCAGCCGACCACCAGCAGCAAAACAGCGCAGCGCAGCAGCAGCAGCAGGAGCAGCAGCAGCACCCAACCAGCAGAGGCTAGAAACCACATCATCGCATGGCACACCGTTTTCACCAATCCCACATCACAGGGGCAAATCCCACATTATCCTTATGGCACATCGGCTTCCGATCTCTGCCAGAAGTATGCTAAGACCACGAAAAAACCATGGTTAGCTTGCGTTTTGCCTTCTTTAGTGTCTGTGTGCGCGCGATCCTGTCTTTCAACGACTGTGCAGGACACACTTCCGCGTGGCACACCTGCGAAAAATGTGAACATGAACGCTTGAAAACATGAACCCTGCAAATCGCTCCTTGCCTCGGGGGCCATGTAAATTGAAGAGGCCTTTGCTTATATACACATATGTGTTGTGACAATGGCAATCCCTATCACACACCTCTGGAGGTCCTGGTGCCTGGTGGGTTGGGCGAGATAGAGGGCGAGATGTGGGCGAGGTATTGGGCGAGATGAACACGTTTGCCCAGAAGACCCATGCCCACTAACACCCAAACACAGAAGTCCTTGCAATGCAGCTGTGGCAACCAATCAAAAACTGGGACACCACGCCGCGACTAAGTCACGGCAACGTTCTTGCGATACTTGTTTCCGCATGGGGCACCGCGTTTCACCAAACAGGCCTGCCACCAAGCTTTCACGTTTCCAATGCCCAGTCTGCAATGGAAGAAGCCTGCTATAATCATAGGGCGTGCAAGACAATGACAGGCAGCAAATGAGTAGGCCTTGTAGCCCAGGCCGCAGCAGCGGCAGCGACAAGCAGCAGCAAGCAGCAAGCAGCAGCACCAACAGCAACCAAGCAGCAAAGCAGCAGCACCGGCAGCAATCAGCCAGCAGCAGCAGCAGCAGCAGCCAACCAGCAGCAAACCAACAGCAACCAACCGCCAGCAGCAGCAGTAGCCAACCAGCAGCAGCAAGGCAGCAGCAGCAGAAAACCAGCAGCAGACCGGCAGCACCAGCGAAGGTAGCCCAATCAAGCTTTCCCCCAAGGGCACACCTCATCTGGCACAAGTTCATGCCACTCAATAGTGTGCCCGCTTCACAGCGGAAGCCAGGTTTCCACGAGGACCCTGCTTCCGAGGGTTGGCCCTATAAGCCCTTGGAGGGTTGGACATATGAGACCCACAATCCCAAGATGAAGGGGAACCTATGGGCTGCCTATAGAAACCTCTGGAAACAACCTATGGGTTGCCTGCCAACTTCCTTGCGGTAGGTCTTGTGCAATCAAAACACTGTGAACGCTGAGTAAAACAAACCCATTGAATAAAACCATGCATTTAGAAAACATCTTCCAACACACTCTATCCTGCAAGGAAACGCTATAGTGTATCGACTTCCTGGTTTGCTCATCACCTTCTATCTGGTAATTGAAAAAACACGTCTCGACTTCAACAACTGGCAGTAAATACTCCAAAACAAACAGGCATCGGATTGTATTTTGCTATAAATTGCCTTGGGTTGCACATCTCCCCGAACAGCTGATGCAGCCCAAGTTCCACGAGTTTCGGTTGCCGTTCGTCTTGACACCGGGTTTCTTGCCGCAGCCAGCGCATTTCACCAACGACTGCATTTTGCCAGCTTCACCGTTCAAGCATGCTCCACCTTGGAGTGGGGATGGCCCTCAAACACCTGTTTGCGGCATTACATCTGCACTTTCATGTGTTCATGAACGGTCCAGATTCAATGGATGATGCACATCTGAGGGGTTGCAGCCACACTGATTCACAGACAGGATGGCGGTGGTCCCGGTGCATTTCCGTCCCAACTCCTCCAGGCCCGTCGGCCAAAGGGCAATAGTGCACTCCACAATGCAAGCAGGTGAGGTTGGTCGAAGGGCCTGAACTCGTGCAGTACCTCACCGCTGACATCAGCGAATGGGCAAAGCAGTACATATTTCGGTACAAATTATCGTATATTTTATGTGATACAACAATACGCCACTCAATGCACCTCTGCCAACTTGATCCAACTTGCACATTTGAAATTAAAAGGCCCCAATCCGATATGAAACCTGAAAGGGTCGCTCACATGTTTCAGCAATTTTGTTCACGCCTCTATCATTGAAGGGGGTCTTGCTGGCATTTCGGCTGCGACATCCGCCTGAGCTCCGCACCATTTGCACATTGCGGGCGTCTGAACTACGTCGCTGATTGTAGCTGTCACGATGTTGTGCTATAATGCTTGGGCCAAAATGGTGGCAGTTGAGCAACATTGACCAAACAAAAATGTCAAACAATTGACAGGTGTGTCATTGCGGTCCAAGAACATGGAGTGAAAAAACAAACGCGCCAAATGTATGCAACATATTTGTGCACAAGGCTCAGCTGAAATGCTGCACCCTGTCTTTACATCCAATTTTTTGTCCAGTGCCGAATGCCTCCACCAACAGGGTGGACAGCCAGTACCCAACAAAACCACAGATGCAAAAAAATTATGCCACCTCTCACCACCAAGCTTACTGAGCACATGCAGACAGACGCAAGAGAAGGCGCAGCATTGCGCCGCTTGCAACAACAGACAGGCAAGCTTCAACAACAAGAGAACGAGCTTCAACGTGCACGAAACAAGTTTCGCACACACGGCATCTCGCTCACTCCTGCCAAGCCGCCAGGCTCCACGCCTCCACCACCACCCGCAGCTTCCACTCTCCCACGTGTCACAAAGGAACAACTGCAAGAATCAGCCACCCGATACGGCTGTCCTGAAATTTCGCCCCTAAGCTTTGCAGCACCTTGTAGCAGAGGGTTCCGCCCTCGCAACCTGACAAACTACTACAATTGTTTTCCATTCTACACATTTTACAATTTTTACATAGAAAGTTTTTCTCGACCCAATGCATTCTACGTCAAACAACCAACCACCACTACCATCAGCATGGCACAAAGAGAATACAACAGACACGCTAAACCCAGACAACTCACACACAACCACCCCATCTCAATTAGTTACGCTACTGGCATTCCCAAGGTACCCAGCATCAATAGAGCACCCTATACCTCTCCCACCACGACACTTACGATCAAACTTGGACACATGAACACTCCATTGGCCTTACGTCCACAAACATTTTGCACCTGAAAGCCTCAGGCTAGCAGCTTACCAAACATGGCCCCTACCTTCTGGGTAGGGAGAAGTGGTCCCCACCTAAAATAATAACAAATTATTTTGAAGATGTCCCACACCCACCTCATCCTAATTATTTCCACGGGTCCACACCCCCTAAAATCATTACAGCCAGCGCTGATAGTTTGCTTGCTAAGAGGGGGACCCCGCCCCTGTCTTGTGGGAGCTTACGAGAGGGGACCGGTCCCCTAGTTGATCACGCAGTGAACTTGGAAGTCAAATGCGTTCACAAGCATTCATAAGCTATGCTTAAAAAAACAAAAGGGAACCAAGAGCAAGAAATAGAAAGAACAGTGAGGGGTGGGGTGGCCCCTTGGGCTACCCCCTCACTGTAAAATTCCAATGGTTATCTCCTACACGGAAGGCTTCCGACCAAATTATTTGAGGGCTGGGGTACCCCCTGGGCTACCCCCCCCACTGTAAAATTCCAATTATTATCTCCTACACGGAAGGTTTCCGAAATTATTTGAGGAGTGGGGTACCCCCTGGGCCACCCCCCTCACAGCAAAATCGGGTCCCCTCACCACCCAACCATATTATGTGGTGCGTATCCACGGGCTACCCCCACCCTCTAAATAAATAATAATAATAAATAGGTTTTCTTATGTGTTCCTAATAAGCTTGCATGTTCTATCAAAATGTCAAATGAGTCTCTAAGCTTTGCTTTGACATTGACGTTCAACCCCATCTTTAAAAAACTGCAAAAAAACGCACCTCTCTTGCGATCACCTTTCTCTTCAACATTATTCCATTTTCCTCAACTTATTGAAAATATTTTTTGGCCTTGTAGGGGTGATAGTTGCGAAGGAAAAACTGTCTGTCTCTTCCAGTTGAGGTACGCTTTAAAGGATAACTATTTTTGGATACCTAGACCCTGTTTTAAGCAAATACCAGGGTCCCCACCACCCACCCCCCTTTCTCAAATAGTTTCAAAAAATATTTCTGGGAAACGATTTTGAGACGTGACGGTATACCTCAAAATAGTTCTCAAGGGAGGGGCTATACCAAACACCGCACCCATTTCACACGCATGCCTACTCATAAACGTCTGTTCCAACGACTGGGAAGCCGACATCGCACTACACACCAACCCACCGGAAAAAAAAAAAATTCTCCACACCTCCCAGGGACTTCATGCACTTACAGCCCTGCGGGAAATCAGCAAACACACACGCCCCTCTTTTGAAACAGCCGCTGTTATTCGCATCGTCGATATACCCACCTTGAAGTCTACGGACTCAGATGGGTGGCAGCCAGTTTAAAGAGCCGGACAGCTCATGCGTTTTGCGCCTTATCCACCCAGAGAACAACAAACCTTTCACTATACCTTTTCTCGCCCACTTCAACTTCCACAGCGACCCCCTGAGAAATGGCTACGCACCCTTGTCAAACACCTTTTCCACCACCACCCGCCCACCGGACGCATTCGTGAAGCCGCGCACAAAACACAGTTGCACAACCACAAACAATGGGAAGAACACACCTCCTCACAACCCACCGCTCAAGACATGCCATGCAGCTGCCAACACATGCATACCCTGCTACGGGATCCAGGGCAAACGCCACTCCACGATGGACTGTTACCACCACACCTCCACAGTTTCCTACAAACCAAAATGAACTGCACTTACTTCTCCACAAATACCCAATACCTTCAACACGTCACCATGGCGATTACACAAAGGCTCTGCCATCACGGTCTCCCGACAGCTCTCCACCAACACTGCCACTCCTATCTGCAACAACAGTGGTCACACCACAACCACAGCCTCAATTCCCACGTTTCACATCAGGCCATCTCACACAGCTACAACACTTTCGGAGCGACAAACTCCTCCTCCTCCATCATGCTGATCATGAGCTGCAGCAGAACCTACGCATCTTTTGTCCAGCCTCACCACATGGAACACACCCCACCATTTCAAGCCACTCCCACACCTCACCATTGACCAATTACACACTCTTCTCACTACCTCCTTTGCTGCTCACCTACACCGCACATACCCTCGCTCGGGGGTTCAAACAAAATTTTAACATCCCCTATGGACTGGCCTTTCTCAAATACAAGAAACACTGGAGGAAAGGGCGCACTGTGATCACGTATTACAAAATCAGTCGCCGGAGCTATGCTCTTACAGCAACACCCGGGCCAGCTATCAACCCCCACCTTCTGGCAACACCTACATACACATCTCCGTGACACCCCAGATGGCGTTCACCACACTGCCATCAGTGACGTCTTGGTCGGCTTGTTGAACAGCGTCCACTGGGACGCTGTCGTCAGCCTATGCAACCAACCAATGGAGCCTCCACCACACCGCCGCTACTCTCACCACCGACGTTCACTTCACAGGCAACCCCATTCAACATCATTCAAAACTCTCACATTGGCCGACAGTATATATTCCACCCCCCGAAACGCACCCTCGACATTACCCAAGTCCCGCTGGAAGTTCAACAAGCATTACACACTTGCAGTTTTCCAGGCATGACACTATACTCAACAAATCCAAAGCGCGGGCATTGGCAGTCAACTCACACCAGCACTCTGCAATGCCGCCATCACACTCATTGAACATGCCTGGCTAGAAACATACCACACTTTCCTACAACAACCATCCTTCCACCTCTTCAAAGCACGCTACGTCGACAACAGGTACACCTTACTCAACGACATTCAACGACATCTCACACTCGCTCATCCAAGAGCCCAACGAACACCCAGTTGAGATCGAACCAGTCAAGGATGATCATCTCCTAGGCTTCCACACCGGCCCCCTATCCAGAACAACCATCTTCTAGTTTCCAACCCCCACCTTTGGCAGGTTCGAGACTCACACTCAGCAGGAATCACACATTGCAACAACATACTTTTCCACCAGGCACAGCACATTCCACAACTCATGCAACTCTATGTGGCAAAGGGCCAACCTCTTCAGCACATTGCGTTGCAGCACTGCAGCCCCGACGGGGAAAGAGCTCGCACAGCAGCGGTGCAGCTGTGATAAAAATTTATCTAGCTACCTAAACGCTCATTTTGTTGGTGACCGTACAGACTAGCAGGGGGCAGTGGACCACGAGCACTCACTGCCCAACGAAGACAGTGATAGTTTGGCCCCAGAAAAGAAAGGTCAAGTGCCTCACGGTCTATTCATCCACCTTTTGCGTGGCCTTGCAGCGATGTTAGCTTGGGTGCCTTTAGTTTGTTTGGTTTTGGTTTGCGCGTTTTGGTTATCAGCCAGCATCACTCAACAACAAGCCGGAAAAAGAAAAGAGGAGTGCAACAAAGCCAAATTGCACCCCAAAAAACGCTGTTCCAGCAGGCCAATAAGCACCGGAAATAACACACCGTGAATGAGAATAGACCAACACACTTCCGGGTTGAGGACCACTCATGACTTCGTTTGTTCAACCTTTGTCAACAACTTGAACTAGGCGCCGACCCCCTTTTCCAAGTTCTACTGGCATGGGGTCGTTGAACTTGGGTTCATCGAAAAAGGTGAGACACAGATGTGAGGTTCTGGGTGGATCCTGCTCAAGCCGAACGGTTACATCTCTTCGCGAGAAGGCTCTTCACGAGCGAGCTGTGACCACAACCCTTGAAGGGAGAACTGGTAAGAACAAACCAAACCAGTCCCCCCTAAGGAACTCACACTGAGAACTCATTGAGTTCATGACGACAGTTGCTACCGCATCGCCTGTCCACCCGGCGAACCCAGGGTGGGTGGCTGTGGCCAAATTGACCTGGCGGTGCTCGAGGGGCAACTCATCGCCAAGATGGCAAATCGACGATTAATCGGTCAAATATAACACAGACACAGTTGAACACCTCAACGTGCACCTCATGTCCAGTCCAACCTTAGACCAATAGTGGTACAATTACAAGAAGCGCAAGTTTACAAGTTACAAAAGGTAACACTATTTTTGTATCTGTCCACAGGTGAATGCAGACTGAGCGAGTGACATGGAAAAATAACCTCTGCAAAAGGCAGAAAACTACG